ATTTGGACCATTAAAAACAGATTAAATTAGACTTTTGTAGTTTTCACTTTTACCGTTCTAGTGTTATGGTACTTGATTGTATGAAAAATTCAATTTTTAGTTTACATATTACAGAAAGAGAAATGCTCTTCTTGAAATGAATGGAAATTTAAATGGAATGTTTTTGACCACAAAATTATAGAAAACTTCATTGGCTCTAACTCAAAATATAAATAATTTTATGTTAAGGGGGTCTTGAAATCTTTTGACAGCTTCCGAAATGCTAATTTTTAACCTTTTCCAGCTGGACCAAATCACTACTTTATTTTAAAATTCATGAATCAAATTTTTTTACAGTGTAATTTTATCCCCCTACTTGCTATTTGAGGCATAAAACATGAAGAAATAAATTTGAAAGGGGTATAAAAAAAAATGGCAAGTAACACACTGTCCACACTAGGGACTATATTTGTGGACAACGAAAATCAAAGGACGATAACTGTGTACTCGGACCACTAAAGACCGGTTGAGTGTAATTTTCTTTGTTTTAACTTTTTCCGTTCTAGAGTAATGGTACTTTTTCCGTTCTAGAGTAATGGTACTTGATTATTGGAAAAAGTCAAATATTTGTGGTGTTTGTATAATAAATGGAGAACCTCTTCTTGAATTATTAATGGAATGGTTTGGACCATTAAACAAAATCATGATCTCTTAGATGCTGCATCAATAGATCACCTCACTAGTTGAAAATCTTCTCTAAAAACATGGACAGGATTTGAACAAAACTGTGTGAAAATTCCTATGGGTATCTAGTTTATAAATTTTATCAGAATTCTACAAAACTATAGTAGCTAGAAGAAAATTAATATTGCAAAAAGGATCAGTAAAACAAGATTTATCTTCATTGAAATTTCATAAAAAAAATTGCCACCCATTTTGCAGTTGTTTACTTTTTCAAAAATAATTCTCCCTGAAACAGCTGAACTTGAACAGATTTAAACCAAACTTTGTGTAAATGTTCCTTTGGAAAATAGTTTTGAAAATGATTTCTGTGATTTTAGCTTATACTTCATGAGCTTCAGGTCAGTTTCCATTTTTATAAAAAAAAAAAAATCATCTGTCCAATAAAGGGTAAACTGCTCCCTCAAGGGGACATTATATTTCATATGCAATACCCTCAGAATACTTGTTGAATTAAAGTTAATGGCCTTTAACTCATTCGACCCCAAGAGATTTCTGGAAAATAAGGCATTTTCCAAAATTTGCAAACTTATGCAAATTAGTAGACTCTTGATGCTGTAACTGGTGCTGATCTATTAAATTGTGTATTGGGATTTGGGGGCGGATGACATGGGTGGGAGGTGGGTGGGAGGTGATATATTTTCTGGTGAGTTTGAACCCACCCCTAATGAAAAATTGTCATTTTCAGTCTATTTTTCAATTTTAATACGACCTTGAGAGGTGAACATTGACTAAACTGTGTTTCTTTGTCATTCAAGTATTACCTTACAGTTACAGCAGTCTATCCATACTGACTGGAAGTTAATGTGACTTGAGAATCTTGCTGGGGAATTATTATTGGCTAGCCAAGTATGCCTAAATGTCCGTTTCTACCGATTTCTGACAAAACGGTGACCTAAATTTTACAGACCACATTTCTTTTAGACATATTATACCTCCTTGTGTTCCTGTACCATGTATGCATGTATTTATGATAATAGTGTATACCTACAGCCCATACCAGTAACGAAGCGGCCATAAAAAGACTCCCACCCCCACCTGATTTTGGCTACTTTTCACGTTTTTTTCGATTTTGAACTCTAAAAAGGCCATTAAAGTTGCCATATTTTCATAATCACACATCTGAGAAGAGTTTATGGACCATGAATTGCATGGTTGAAGTCCCTGCTGTAAAGACAGTTGAGCTGGGGCAGTTCTAAAAAAGTATGGAGGGTCATACAGGCCATCAAAGAATGGTGGTCGCCATCACGACTACAGGCGGGATTGGGGGCGAAGGGGTTAAGCATTAAAAGGACTGTTATTGACATCAATTGCATTGGCAAATACCATTATTGTAATAGGACTAGAAGAATAACTGGGATATATGTAAATGGGAAAGCAACAAGGCCACACAAAAAATTCAAAAAGTCATCTAAATTTGCCTTGCAAATGCAAAGGCTATTTTGAATAGATGTTAGTGGAGTCATTCAATTATTACTTTTTGGATTATGTCTTTTGATAGATTAGTATCAAGTTCCTTAAAAGGTACCAAGTGAGAAATACAGGTTTCTTTGACTTGGAGGGTTCAGTTTATTGAAATGGATCTCTTGGAGATTGGTCAAACTTAAAATCAATTGCTATGAAAATTTGTGATAAAGTATAAAGTCCTGTATTGCAATACATTAATTTATAACATTGGAAAAAAACACGTTCTGAAAGAAAGATATCATTTTGATAAATTATTTGAGATTAGTTAAAATGACCATTAGCTATATGAACAAGTATGCTAAGTGGCTGTCATACTAAATATTTATGTGTTCTATAGGATTATGAAATCTTCAAGTCTTTTTATTTGTGTACAAAACACTTGTTACTTATACAATATGAATTTGTGTTGACAAATTTTAAAGTTAAATAAAACGACACATTAAAATTTGTTTTAGAATAGAATAGTTTGATTATATTTTGTTTGTTCTTTTAAGTTACTAATACTTTATATAACATCATTTTAAACTTCATGAATTCTAATAAATGTTAATGCATGAGCTTTATAAGAACAGAGAGCTGTCCTTATAGTAGATAAACAAATGTTTATCTTAGGAATTTTATTAGAGACTCTACAATTACAAATTATTAATAAATTTAAATAGAATTATCATATGAAATATATAGGAATTTAGTGAGTAAAATGGTTTGACAACTTTGGATTACAGAAAGGATGCATTCATTTATTTAAAGTAAAAGGTAAAATAAAACATTGTTTCCTTTGGATTTTTTAAAATTATTTTTACTGTTTTTTTTTTAAATGCAACAATGTAATTTTTATCAAATTTTAAAGTTAAAGAGTATATCTACTTATTATTTGAAACATAATGAAGTCCAAGTAATTATACACAAATTATGTCTCCACTGTATATCTGTCTGTCTGTCCATCCCTCAATCATAAAAGTTTGTCAATCCTTGGTCGCCTTCAGTTTTCATAGAAATGGAAGGAAACTTGACAGAATTACTTTGTATCATGTGTACTTGTGCTCCGACACATTTTTTTTTATTAGATTGATATTTGGTGTTCATGGACTTTGCATTTGTACATTTGTGGAATTTTGTCAATGCAACATATTTTTTTATAGCTTTCAATCATTGAATGAATGGAAACTTCACAAGTTTGCTTCATCACAATGTGAAGTTTTGTCCATTCTAGTGCTAATTGAATATATACCAATCATTCTCTGAAGGGATATGGCAGAGGACCATTATTTTTATGCCCCTGCCGTAGCGGAGGGGGCATTAAGTTTTACCCTTGTCGGTCTGTACGTCCGCCCGTATGTCCGAAAGTTGGTTTCCTTTCTCTAACTTTAGTTTGCCTCAACCAAATGTTATGAAACTTATACAAAATGCTTATAACTGTGGGTTCATTATTATTCGTTGGATACCAATTTTCGTGGATTTCATGGGTAAAGGTAAACCACAAATTTAAGTGAACAACGAATCACAAACTCTCTATAGGCTTGTATGCAGACTTTTGCTAAACCCTGAAATCAAATATCCACGAAAATAAATGAATCCACAGTACCACAAAACACAGATCAAGTTTGAATTTTGGTGGTGTCACTTTAACTGTTCTAGAGTTATGCCCTTTACAAATGGAAAAATTGCTGAATTTTTCGTTTCGGTTCTCTAACTTAAGTTTGCCTCAACTAAATGTTATGAAACTTATACACAATACTTATTACCACAAAACGCAGATCAAGTACAAATTTGGGTAGCGTCACTTTTACCATTCTTCAGTTATGTCCCTTTATAACTTTATATGATATGCAAGCGGGGGCATCATTTGTGTCCCATGGACATGTTCCCCATTTATTTATACCCCATTTTATGAAGTAAGGATGGGTATATATTTTTTTTTTTTAGTTGTCAATTTGTCAGTCATTTTGATTTTCTTGATGATAAATCAGATACTTAATATCAGATTGCAACGTTACTTAGATATAAGTTCCGAAATAATGAGAGCAAGGTCTCTATGAATTTTGGCATGGCTAAATCTTAGGTCAAGGTCAAGGTCAAGGTAACTAAAAATATACTAGAAATTGGTGTTGAAAAGAAGTTTCAGGATTGTAACTTCAGAACCTTGCATGGATTGGAACAAAACTTAAACATATGGTTGTACATAATGAATGGAAGAATCCTGTTAATTATGAAATCATAGTGATCAAGGTCATAGTTACTGAAAAAGAGTATGAAATAAGTGTAGAAAAGGAGTTTCCAGATAATAACTCTAGAACCTTGCATGGGATCAGAACAAATATGGAAATATGGTAAAATAGAAGGAAATGGGTACCCTATTGGTTTTTAGCTGAATGAATTTAATGTTAAAAGAAATTGAGTGAAATTTGTGAACAATAAGGACATTACCATACAGTGACAGAAAGATTTCTATCACAAGGACAGTAATTCCTTACATGCTTTCCTTCCATGTAAGATGGAAATTTGATTTTCATAATTAATCTCTTTTTTGGGGGGAACATCATACCAAGATTTTTATTGCTAGAGATTAGTATAATTTTGGGTAAGGGGGTTTTTTGGACTTGCTCAAAGATTCTGTAATATTTTCATGTCCAATATTAAAAATTTGAACCAAAAATTATTTGAATTTCAAACAATCTGTCTGTTTTAGAGTTCATTTGACTGCTGTGCAGCATGATTTTGCTCAATGAATGATTATAGTTTTGTTAAATTAGTGCATGCCTTTAAACAGCTCTCTATTCTTATGTGTGTGTTGTTTGATTGTGTTTATTTAGGCTTTAGAACAAAAGCATGAAGAAGTTAATTATTTAGAAGAGAAAGCATTATCTACACAAGCATACTTGCAACAACAAGAAACTGAACTGGAGGTATGTAATTATTTTACTTGATTCAGTTTTATGAAAAAAAATTCAAATTCTTAATCTATTTTTCCCTTAACCAATGATGGCTTTAATACATTATCAAGTCAGGAATATGACAGTTGTTTTCCATTCATTTGATGTGTTTGAGCTTTTGATTTTGCCATTTGATAAGGGACTTTCCAATTTGAATTTTCCTTGGAGTTCGGTATTTTTGTCATTTTACTTTTTATTTATTTTTTTAAGCTGAGTAGGAGTTATTGCCCTTGAAAGACATATATTACTCATTTTTGTCGAGCCTTCGACTTTTGTCGAAAAAGCGAGACATAGCGATCCTACATTCCGTCGGCGTCGTAGTCGTCGGCGGCGTCCACAAATATTCACTCTGTGGTTAAAGTTTTTGAAATTTTAATAACTTTCTTAAACTATCCTGGATTTCTACCAAACTTGGACAGAAGCTTGTTTATGATCATAAGATAATATTCAAAAGTAAATTTTGTAAAAAAAAAATTCCATTTTTTCTGTATTTTACTTATAAATGGACTTAGTTTTTCTGCCAAGAAACATTACATTCACTCTGTGGTTAAAGTTTTTGAAATTTTAATAACTTTCTTAAACTATCCTGGATTTCTACCAAACTTGGAAAGAAGCTTGTTTATGATTAAAAGATAGTATCCAGAAGTAAATTTTGTAAAAAAAAAATTCCATTTTTTCCGTATTTTACTTATAAATGGACTTAATTTTTTCTGCCAGTTAACATTACATTCACTCTGTGGTTAAAGTTTTTAAAATTTTAGCAACTTTCTTAAACTATCCTGGATTTGTTCCAAACTTGGACAGAAGCTTGTTTATGATTAGAAGCTAGTATCTAGAAGGAAATTTTGTTCAAATTTTGTTCAATTTTTTCCGTATTTTACTTATAAATGGACTTAGTTTTTCTTCCAGTTAACATTACATACAGTCTGCAGTTTAAGTTTTTAAAACATTTATTAGATTCATAAACTATCCTGGATTTGTACCAAACTTGGACAGAAGCTACTAACAATCAAAAGATGGTATAGAAAGGAATTTTTAATAATTTTTTTCCTCATTTTTGTTGAGCCTGCGATTAACAGCAAAAGTAGGCAAGACACTGGGTTCCGCGGAACCCTTACGAATTTTTTGTGTATTTGCAGAAACTATAATAGATAGAAGAGAGAAATTGTAATAAGCTAAAGTGTTCAGCAAAATAAAATCTCCGAATAAGTTAACTTGGCCGAAATTGCCAATTGGCCGCTAATAGAAGTTAGTTCTCTTGAAAGTTGATTGGTTTAATATCAATATATAATTGATTGCAATGAAGAAGAAAAATAAATATCAAAATGGCATATTTTTTACCAGGTGAGCTATAAAGCCTTTTATTTAACTATGGGACAAACATTATTCAATAATGCATAAATGCCAGTTGATTTATACAGATTCCTAGGAAATTCTAGTTTCCAATCATGAAAAGAAATTTGTTATCCCAATAAGCATACATATTGAATAAATATCCCCCCAAACATTCATTTCCTTTTGGTATACATTGGGAAAATATAAGATCTAAAATCCTGTTAATAGACAGTCTTTCTTGTCTATAAGAATTTGTACAGGTGTCCATTTATAATTTACTTAAGCTTAATCTAAATCAACAAATGCAAGATAAATTATTACAATATTTACAGAATAAGCATGAAGTACATAGGAATATTTCACTATGATATGTTTGATAAAGAGTTTTATCATTAAATTTTGACGAGTTTTGTTTGTAAATTAACAAAGAATACTGATCCCACTTAATCCTAGGGGATTACTTTGTTTTAGGTGTCTATACAAATTACTAATCCCTCTATAATTTTATTTTCATCTATGTTTGTTTTTTAATTCAATTATTTTAATGAAGTAGTTTTTAGGCAAGCTTTCAGATTTAATTGAAAAGATGGAAAAAGTTTGAAATGGACAAATATTAACATTTCCCATAGTTTTATGAAAATACTGCATATTGACTATCTAAATGTGAAATCTCTTGTTAGTGGTTGTACTAAGAAATGGACAGGAGTCACAAAAACTGGACTTTAATGATTTAAATCTAATCAAGTAGTTACAAATTGCAATTAAGGTTGTATTAAAAGCAAGGATTACAGTTCAAGAGTTCTTAAAAGGATTTATTAGTTCAATAGAAGACCAGGCAGTCAAATGTACTAATATATTATGTATATTAGTTTTTATTTTTGTGCAACATTAATTGGGAAAGCTCTAGCCTTGAAATTTTGTATAAAAGCAGGATTGAAACTATCTATTCCTCAGATTGGTAAAATTTTTCAATGACGAAAGCTATTGATCAGCTGTGCATTCTGTCAAATGTATTTAAAGAGTCATGTATAATATAAAAGTAAAAATTCTACAGCAAACTAACTGTTTTTAAAGATTGATCTAAACAATAAATGACTTCATGGAATCTTTTTGGGAGGATTCGTTGGAAGAAGAAGCAAATGTTTTACGAAGCTTTGATAGTGATACATCTTTGCATTCCAATATAAACAATTACAGCTGCAATGGTATGTCTTCCTCCCTATCATACAGAAATGACTTTAACTGTTATGATATGTATCCACAGAAACTGATGAGAACTCTTGGGAAGAAGGAAGGAGAATTAGAAAGCTTTAAAGATCTTCTGACAAAAGCTGAGAATGCCCTGATACAGAGTGAAGATGCTGTAGATGTAAGTTATTCCATTCATAATACTTTAAATTCATTATTTTTTCGTGGTGTACCATTTTTTGGTGGATTTTGTGGCTATAAGTAAATCATGAATTTTTATGTTCAACGAAGAACAAATTTTCTTTTGACTTTTGAAAGCTGACTTTTGCAAGAATACCAAATCAAATATCCATGAAAAATACAATTTTTCCCCCTCAATCCACGAAAATTGTAACACTAAAAAGTTAATGAATCTACGGAAGTATATTTTTTGCTGTGAAGTTTGTAAATAGTTATTTATTGTACCATATCATAATTTATCACACTTTTTTATTATTGCATATTTTTGTCTGTGGTGGCTAACTTTTTATATGTCTAACAATCAGAATGAATAAAACAGAACAAAGGTCATTTTAGTACTGAAAGTGATGTTTTTGACTATTTTTCTGTACAAAGATGCACACCTTATTTTGTATTACCAACATTAACAACAAACACTTAAATGAGTGAATTGACAATGTTTCAAATAAGTATCCATTTATGCCACAGCTTTGGCAGATGGTACACGTTATAATGTGAATGTTTTTTTTCAATACATGTTACATGTACATGTATGTTTAGATTATAATTTAAACTGTTAAGTTTTGCTTCATTGTATGATAATATGAAATAAAAAAAACGAAGATACCAATTCTGTATGTGGCTGTCCCAAGTCAGGAGCCTGTAATTCCGTGGTTGTTGTTTGTTGCTGTATATCATATTTGTTTTTCTTTTATTATATTGTACATAAGTAATTCAGGCGTTATTCTTATGGAGTTTGCTATTAGCTCAGAAATGTCAAAATAAATATGCTTTATATTGTTCAATTTTATAAGTACATTTTTTTGTAGCCACAGCACAATACCAGGTCATTTACACTGAACTGATCAAGAACAGAGCCATACAATATCTTAGACTAGATGATCACATTTAAGTGCCTTTTCTGTCACCTACCACCCTTTTGCCCTGAGATTCACACATTTTCCTGTTTTAAATATGATTATTTGTTGTTTTGTGATATCCATATAGTGTTTGGAGGACATTTTTGTTTAAATTTTATTGCAGACATGACCAAAAGAAAAGATTAAGAACAGCCTATTTGTTACATATTAGTTCAATTAATTTTATTTAAAACCAATGACTCAGTTTACACCTTTTAATATAATTAATCTGAAAACAAAATCTGTTGGTAAACAACTGCTTATCACATATTACACAAGGTGTAAACAACTGCTTATCACATAACACAAGGGACTAACAATAGAAATTGTGTTCTCCTTATAAACCTATAAGATATTCTGTGAACGATAATTCTTATTAATAGTTCAAAAATGATTAAGATGTAGTATAACTAATCGCCATATTTGAATATAAGAAATTAAGATGGAATGACCCATGAATTAAACAAGTGCACAATATGAATTTGATCTATAGCTACGTTCTATCACAAATGGTTTTGTTTTTTATATTTTCTGAATGTAGTTAGGTTCTTTGCAACTTTGTCAATTTTATTAAGGTCTTAAACTCATCTACCAGTAACACCGTTTCCCTAAATTTATCATTGTTTCTCTCATATTTGGTTAAACTTCGGAACAATTTCTTTTTTGAAGGGAATTTACGAAAGTTGTTGATCTAGCACAATTCAATGTTGTTTTGGTAGACACATGATATAGAACTGTATACGCCAGCGGCCTGCTCATTTTTAAGGTCATATGAATATGGCAAGGTTTGCAAAGGAGTTTTTGTCGGACGGATGAAAATTAAAATACATTTCTTTCGTACTTCAAATAAAAAATAAATCATATTCTTGAAAAACAGAAGTCAGGGAAATGAAATGAATTCAGTTTGAATATTGAAGTGAAATTAAAGCTATTTATACTAAATTTCATAATTACATTGTGCTTTAAGAAGGTCTTAAGTATACATTCTTGCATAATTAATGAGCTCTGGTCTAACAGATGATGAAAAGGATTGGGTTGTTGCTTAAAACTATGTTAAATAGTTTCCTGGAAATATATTTTCTCATTGATTTCTATAAAATTATCGCATTTTTTTGAGATTTCAGCTTTCACTTCAAAACACATCATTGGTAGATACTGTCTCTTTAAATTCACTGTGTAAAAATTTATTTGTGGGTCCCAATTTTCAAAATGGCCATCATAATACATAGAATTTCTAAATTTTTGATTTTTAAAAAAATGATAACTTTGCAGAATTTGATATCATAAATTGATCTCTGATGTCAAAAGTTATTTGTCAGCTCCCAATTTCTTAATATACATTGGTCAACATCTACAAAAAAAAACCAGTCATAATTTTGAGAAACAATATAACTAAGATAAGATGATATTTCTTGATGTTACATTGTTTCTAAAGAACTAGGATAAAATTTTGCAAACTTTTTTTTTGCACAAAAATATACAAGCTTAGCCATGCATCAGTTTTTCTAGTTATATTTTCTTTAAATCAATAATGGTTAAAGAGAAACTATAAACCTCAAAAATTGATAGACAAGCAAATTGAGATCTACAAAACATTTGTCTTCAATATTATGTTTACTGCTTAGTGGACACCATTTGATTTGAGGAGTTGGGGCTGGGAAGTTTTATCATAGGTTTCTTTCATTCTGATTTTTTCGTATTAAATAACATGATCAAGTTTGGCAGTTGGTTTTGATTTCAATGGAATGATCACTAAAAGCCAAATTTCAAAATAATCTTCAAAATGGTAAGTTTTTGCTGAGTGAGCAATGCCGGCTCTTTAATATGAGTCTCTAGTTTAGTTGCACTTGATTTATCTATTGAACATATTTTTTATCCGTTTAAGAAAACGAGGATTAATGATTAATATGGTTAGCATTTAACTTTACTTAAATTACATAAGGATTCCTAATTAGGAGTAGGTGTGAATTAAGAAGCAAATAACTTATTTGTTGTTTATAGTTATTTTTTTCTTTGTTTAAACTTTCGGTTTTGGTTTGGACATACGTTGGTACAATGATGAATCTTTGAAAATTGTAAGTTTTGTGAGACTAAGAGTGCATCCCTTTCTGTTATTGACTTTCAGCAGGATACCAGTTACAGAACAATAAATTTGTTTTTCAGGGATTACAGAAACAGTTGAAAAAAGAATCAGGACTGGATAGTCATACTCGACACTATCAGGTAAAATACGTTTGGATTAACCAGAATCTCTAAGGAATAGATTTGTAAATGATGTATTGTATGTTAACATCTGAACAAGTAAACATATTGTTTAAAAAAAAATGTCCTGTAATATCAAGCTTTTAAATATTTAAGGAAACTTTTCAGTAATATATCAAGCTTTAAAAGATTTAAGGAAACTGTCCTGTAATATCAAGCTTTAAAAGATTTAAGGAAACTGTCCTGTAATATCAAGCTTTAAAAGATTCAAGGAAAATGTCCTGTAATATCAAGCTTTATAATATTTAAGGAAACTCCTGTAATATCAAGCTTCAAAACATTAAAGGAAATAGTGCTGTAATATATCGAGCTTCAAAAATATCTAGTCCTAATGGTTGATCTAATATTTGCAGAGTAAACTCTGACAGAATATTTGTATTGGATATTAGATACACCTTTATCAATATTACATGGTTGATTGGTCCATTAACAGTTTGTTCTTGGCTTGAGTGTATGATTTTTTACACATCTTAATGATGTTTCTGATAGCTTTATAAGTAGGACCTAGGTTTAAACAAAGATCAAGTTTTGGTACTTTTATGCAAGTCACCCTTAAATTGACAACTTGATACCTGGAGATTGTTATCTTGGTATTTAATTATTGCTGTTATTATTAAAAGATGGCTAACTATTGTCATTAAGGCCATAATAAAATCATTTTTATTTTAAAGATTCCAAATTCAAAATTTGCAAATTGTAATATTAACAATCATTTTCACTGGAAAATATTCTTTAGAAAATTGGTTAGTTAAATTTTAATTGAAGTTTTTTTTTTTAATATTTATATATCTTATTAAAGAATGAACTATGCTGAATTAATATTTTATGATTTTGGGGAGTAAATTATTTTTACTGGCCTAATTTTTAAAGTACATTAAGAACAATAGTTAGTTATAATCATGTCATATGGAAATTTGGCCAGTTAATATTATTATTATATTTGGTCAGTGATGAAGCATTTATTCTGTTTCAAAATTTTGAGAGTGTTTAGAGATTTGGAGGAAAATTAGAAGATATGATATGAGGTTAGTTAAGAAGTTTTAATGGACTGAAATTACCACTAACTAATTAAATATATTTTATTTAGTTGATCTTGAAGGTAGACTATAAGTTTTAATGCATATACAATGTTATGTAATACAAATTTATTCAGATAAGGGTCAAAATTTTGAAATTTTAATATACCAACCTGAGGTCTGTTAATACTTGCATAGCAATTTAGTTTTTAAAAATTTTGTTTATTGATGACTTAATTATTCAAATCTAATTGTGTAAAAAATTGTCAAATATCATTTTTTAATTTTGCAGACAGAGAACTTTCCTTTATTACAAAAAGGACTATTATTACAGCTCATTTATTCCTTGTCTGAAATACTGTAAATTCAGAAATTATTGTGTGCATTTATTACCGCTATTGTTGGACAATTGAGACAAATGCATGTTTAATTACTGCAATTTTAGAATGTGCTGCATACAAATAATACAATCAAAATTCAAAATGCAAGTTCTTATTTCTACGACATTTATCTCGTCTAGATTTTCCCAATGATAAAAAAAAATACCAAAAATTTCTGAATTTACAGTATACATGGTATATGTAACCAATTTTCATTATTTCAGAAAACCTTGCACTAATTGCCATGCCCACTTAGAATATGTTCTGGCACACATACATGAGTGTATGTATTTACTTTATTTTGTAGACACTGTTTGAAGATGCTCAGAAACAAGTTGAAGGAAAAGATCAGTTGGTGAAAAATCTGACCGAAAGTTTACAGGACAAAGATAGACAGATCCAGTATTGTATGGAAATATTCAGACCAACGAAGGTACGAAGTGCACTGATATCAAAGAAAGGTTATTTGTGCCACTGGAGAATTTTCTCATTTATATTAATATTTATGTTAGAGTGGGTACTTCTGACTAAAGATTAAGACAGAAAACTTTTTAGTGGAAAATTCAAAGGTATTGATGGACATGTTAGCACTGACATTATTGTCTGTTTCAACACTCATTGTAGTATTTGATTGATAATTCACTTGTGCTTTTTACACAGGTTATTAGTTCCCTACCGACGAAGTCGAAGGGACTTTAGGTTTGCACTCTGTCCGTCTGTCCATCCTTCAGTCAGGCAAATCAGTATTCCACACTTTTTTTCTTCGTTCTTGAAGATATTGATTTGATATTTGGTATATAGTTTTGCCATGACAAGTTATAGATCAAGTTCGAATTTTGTTCCGGTCTGATGATTTAGTCCAGAGTTATGGACCATAACTCTGGACCATATCTAATGTTAGAGTACTCTGTTAAACCATATTTCTGTACAAAGGGAGATAACTCATTTTTTAAAAGACATTCATTGGTAAATTATTTGAAGAATTTTTTGGCAGGTTTGTTTGTTATTTTGTATAAACTAATTTTCTGAATGCTATATATATATAAAAAAAAATAATGAAGTGAAATTCTTTAATTAGATAATAATATATTTTTATTAATGTATATATTACATTAGATGGTGTAGATAAAAATTGTTGACATTTAATAGATAACTTACAAATCTATATTAGTTTGTGACAAATAAAAGAAAAATATTTGGAACTATTAATTATATTTGATTATAATTTGAAAATAGATAACCACTGTATTACATCATATCTAATTTTAGAGAACTATTAATCATATCTAATGTTAAAGTGTTTTCCACACTTTTTTTCATCATGCTTGAAGATATTGATTGATAATTGGTATATAGTTTTATCATGACAAGTTATACAGATCAAGTTCGAAATTTTGTTTCGGTCTGATAATTTTGTGCAGAGTTATGGTCCTTGGACTTGAAAAATTCACTCATTTAATCAGTTTTCCACACTGTTTTTAGTCATGCTTGAAGATATTGACTTGATATTTTCTTTTTGTTTACACCATGACAAGTTATAGAACAAGTTAGCTTTTTGTTCCAGTATACTGAATTTTTACCCGGTAGGGGACTATGTATTGCCATGCAATACTCTCAGAATGCTTGTTATAGCAAAAATTTAGACCTTCAAAAATATCTTTTCCAATAGCCTCTTTATCAATTATTACTATACTACAAATCAGGTGAACAGAAAAATTGTCAATTAAATAAAAATTTTGTTCTTTGTTGAAAGTTTCAATGTGTGGTTCACCTATACCCACGAAATCCTCGAAAATTGGTAGCCAACGAATAATAATGAATTCATAGTAAGTTGCTCACTTCCTTTGTCCAATAATGACCATGAATTGTGTTCACTACAAATCTTGAATACCAATTGGAGTTTATTGATTGTACTTGGTTTTAGTGTACAGAGAAAGTGTGCCAGGGAAGAAAAAACATTTGCATTCTCAAACTAAGTCAAGAAGTATAGAGTATCAGGTCTTCTACTCATTGATATTGTAAAGTATCAGCTTCAAGTCATAATATGAATCTTTCTGGCGAGTGAACACAGCAAACAAGCAAAAAACTTCACACTATGTTGAGCACCTGATAATCTGTTGATCTTACCATTTCTTCTATTTTTTCCCTTCCTTTGAGAGTTTTATGCTTGGTTGTCCTAACAAAAGTAAGTTGTACTGAGAATTTATTTGTTTTTTCAAATGCAAAAATATATAATTAGGATAAACAGCATGTTTGTCTTTTATATTCAATGTTGGCATATGGCCAATTATACTATATGGGTTTTTCTCATTGTTGAAGGGTGTACAGTTGCCTATAATCGCTTACATCCTCTTCATTTGAACTTTGGTGGATAGTTGTCTCATTGGCAATCATACCACATGTCCTTAGTTTTATATGATTCTTTCAGGAAGAAGAGAAGAAATCAATGGATGGTTGGATGAAAGACTTACAAGACAAATTAAGGGAGAAGAATAAAGCTCTGGAGGTATTTCTTAAGCACACATGTCATGGCTTATATTCTAAACCAATATTTACCTAAATCATTCTAATGGTGTCTTATTTCTAAAAATGCATCTGATGCTTTTACTCTTTACAAACATAGTTGCACTTATTAAGAAATGACAGTAGGAATGAAATCATCAAACATATCAATATTTAGTAGAAATGTGTGTTGGGTCAGTTTTTACCAAACTTTCTAGATTGAGTGTTTGTTGTTTTCTCAATGATCAGTAGCAAATATTCATGAAAATTCAAAGCAAAAACAAATTAAAGAATGAATTTTTTGGGTAGGCTCTGCAAAATGGGCGTACTGGGACAAAGAATGGGAAATAAAGATTGCCAATGGTAAAAGTGGATATGAAAAAAATTGTGTAGGAGCTGAAATTTTGATGTGCAGTAGGCAATATAGAGACCCCTCAAAGAGTTATTGTAAGGGTATGTGTATGTGCTGAAAGGGTGGCACTCTCCCACAAGGGATTATCATATTAAATGCTTCTATTCTAACCTGAGATTAGATGATTTTAGGACAAATTTATGAACGTTTTTCACTAATTTTATGTCCTCCGTATACAAATGTTCATTTTATGGATTTTCGGTTATTGTTCAATGAGCAAAAGTTGTAAAATTTTACCAAAATTTGGTGCATTTAAAGTACCTAGACTGTAACTTGTAAATTATAAGTGCCCTTTCTTTAATCCAGATTTACTATTTTTACAGTTCTAAGTACAAATGTACTCCATAATTGCCTTTTCTTCAATCCAGATTAACTATTTTTACAGTTCAAAGCTCAAATGTACTATTTTCATAATTCTTTTTTTTAAATATATACGTTTGCAGCTTATTATAGATAATCTCTATTTTATAATGTTTGTTACTTATAAGATGTAATTAGCTCTTATAATTGAATTAATATGAAACTACAAAAATAGTGACATCATTTGATTATCCTAATTAGAAGTATATTTAAAGCTTGTATACATTTGACCACATTTCACACCCAGATTAATACTAGCATTCAAGATCAAGCTCACAAACTGGTGTCAACTTTACAGACTCCATATCGATATAAAAAAAGTAACGTCTAGTCCATTTCAGAAATTTATATGCTTAGATGAATATAATGATACTTAGGCCATGTTAAACAAATTTTCTTGTTCTCAAATGCCACTGTGTTAGCTGGCTCGTACTAATTATTGCCAATTAAAAATAAATGGAACATGTTAAAAAAAAATCCTTTTGGAAATAAAATCATAGATACCAGGATTAAAATTTTGTATGCCGGACGCATGTTTCGTAAATTATACTGCCTTCAAACCTGTCAAAGAATTTTAACTGATTGTATAAAGCTTAAGGTAGTATGGGGGTATAAACAAAAAATGAAAACATTCAGATTTGTTTGCTAATTAGGAGGCTACTGGAGAAAAGTATAGAATTTTGGACGAAAAAGATGGAGAGATTAGAAAGCTTAAACAACAGATCAGAGAGAAGGAGCGTGATTTGGAGAAGGCAAACCAGACATTGATAAGTACAGAAGAGACAATAGATGTATGTTCAAGGGTTATTTTATAAAACAGTGGATTAATTAATATATATAGGATATCAATTTTAGTAGAGTTTATGGGTAGGGAAAAACCCCAAATTTAGATACTTAACTAAATACAAATCTTCAGTTACTATAATAGGAGCAAATGATGAATCTAAGTACCTTGGAAAATTTTCCCTCATCATGAAAATTTATATTATACAATGACAATTAAGGTTCAACATTTTATAAAAAGCAATTGAAAGTTTTATCAGCACATTCTGCAAAACTTTTGAGTTGTCCTTATTGGTTAAAGTCAAAATTGTATCTTATAATGAATTTTAAAATGGAACTTCCAAGTAATATCTCTGAATAGTACCAAGAATAGAGAGATTTTCGTCATCCGAAATCCTATAAATGACTACATACTGAATATCTCATAATCATAATCAGAAAAACTTATGAAGTGAAACATACACATTGTATGCATGTTTGCAACCTATGTATGCATGGTTGCAACCTATTTATTTTATTTTCTATGTTAAAGGGTCTAGAACAAGAATGTAGCGATAAAGAACTGAACATGAAACAGCTTGTTACCTCCCTGAAATCAGCTCAGAGATCATTTGAGGTATTTTTCATTGCTCAATTATGTATTTTGCTAATCTTTCTGCTTTTAATTAAAAAAGGATTAGATTTAATTATTGTTAGTCACTTTTAAATAAAGAAGGACATAGTCATTGATTTATTTGAATATTCAGTGTCATAGTATGCCAGAGAGTTGAATTATTGTCAGCATTACAGATTATCAAATTGTTTGGAGTGTACATTCAGTGTCAGAGAATACCAGTTAGTGTATTTATTGTCAGTTTTATATTAGAGTTTTTCAGTAAATAGAAAATCTTATACATTCACCTTATGTAAAATGAAAGAATATGTACATTTCAATATTTGAGCAAAAATGTGAATACTGTTACATTTCAATATTTGAGCAAAAATGTGGATACTGTTACATTTCAATATTTGAACAAAAATGTGAATACTGTTACATTTCAATATTTGAGCAAAAATGTAAATTACTGTTGTTTCACATCTAGGATGCTTTAGACAACCATGCCAGAGTTCTGAGGGAGAAAGATAGCATTATTAAAAGACTTCAGAATAGTTTGGCAGAGAAAGAGAGAAACCTTGAGGTAATTGTTCATATGCCATGCAATGAATAGTAAGAAAAGATTATTAGTTCCCATACCGATGAAGTCGAAGGGGACTTTAGGTTTGCACTCTGTCTGTCTGTCTGTCTGTCTGTCTGTCTGTCCATCCGTCAGTCCGGGAAATCAGTTTTCCGCACTTTTTTTCTTCATGCTTTGAAGATATTGATTTGATACTTGGTATATAGTTTTATCATGACAAGTTACAGATCTTAGTAAATTCACTCAAATAATCAGTTTTCCATATTTTTTTTCATCATGCTTGAAGATATTGACTTGATATTTGTTATATAGTTTACACCATGACAAGTTAAAGATCAAGTTAGCATTTTGTTCCATTACAATAAATTCTTAACCAGTAGGGGACTATGTATTGCCATGCAATACTCTCAGAATGCTTATTGTTTTTTATGTTCCATGTAAGGTTTTTTTATATACTCAAATGCAGCCATTGAAGTAATGCAATTATTTATTTTAATGTTGTATTTCATCGTTCATTTACCATGTTAACAATCATGCCTGTTTTTAATCTGCTGATTTTCATTTTGATTGTTATTCAATTTATCTCAGTACTTGAAGGCCATTGAATATTTATTACTAAACACCAAAAACATATGAGATGTTACTTTGTTATTTAGACTTCACAGTGGAGTGGCAATTCCAGTAATGAAGAGTTAAATAGATTAAAGAAACAGTTGAAAGAGAAAGACGATTTACTGCAGGTAACATAGTTACCCATAATCCATTATGGTGTAAAGTGGTAAAAATCAAAAAGGATAGAATTTATTTTTTATATTGTAGAAAAATAATTTATTTCATGCTATTTCCTGCATTGTAATAGATCTACATGCTGAGTCTTAATTTTTGAACAAGCAAGGTCCAAGGTAACAGTCAGCATGGACACATGTGAACTTATCAGGACTTACTATTTTGACTTCAAGTTAACTACAGTCTTTACTCTTCCTCAATAATTTTGCATTCTTAAAGGAAAATTATCTAATACCAAATGGAAAGTCTTTGGTTTGCCCTGCCATGATATTTACCCATAAGTTGTCCTGCTCTCAGGTACATGCAACCTCAGGACTACAAAAACTTTGTATTTCAGTAAAAATTGAAGCACACAATACAACTTTCAAGATAGTTTCAATAAGTTTAATTTTGAACATAAAAACTCTTATATGGCATGAAAATAAGCAGATAAAGTTTAATAATGCTATTAAATATATTAATTCCTCGATAGAATTTTGAAGGTAAACATTTTGTAAGTTTCTTCTGGTGTTACACAGAAAGTTAGTTTGTGCTTATTTTCTTATACAGGATGTCATGTCTGAACAGTCTAAGGCAACAGCAGCTAATGCTGAGGCTCTGAATAATCTACTAAAGAAACTGAAGTCTAAAGATGAAGACATACGAGAGTTAATGGACAGATCAAATAAAGAAATGTCAGATCTGCAGAACAAACTTCAACAGTTACAAGCAGAACTTAATAGAAAACAACTAAGTTCAAAAGTAGGTCAAGTAGATGATCTTAATGAATAGTTAACAAATTTAATCCAGCTGTATGTTAATATGTCAGTCCAAAGCCATTTTATAGTTTTGTTCATGTCTGAGAATTTTTTTTTTTTAAAGAATTTGGTATTGTCAAATGGCAGAACTGTTGTAATCTGTGCTAAATTTATTCACATCTTGTCAAGGCTGGCTGATTTAGAGCCTGGCATATGGTATAATTCTTTATGAAGGATGACTGAATTCAGAAAAAAGAAACTATTGTAGCAACTCAGATTTATATTTTATGAATGAATGCATGGTTAGATAGAGATGTGAGCTACAAAAATGTCATCTGAAGTTAGTCACATTCTTGTACTAATAAAACATTGAATTAATTCTAACTGTTTTTTTTTTATATTTAGAGTTCAGAAAACCAACTAATTGATATTGAACAGGATCACAGACAGGCCATAGACAAACTTGCTGGAGCACTAAAGGATAAGGACAAAACAATTGAGGTAAGAGGGAGAATGTAACCTAGCTTTTTATAATTGTATAAACAATTCAAGTTCAAAAGTCATTTTCATTTCTGTTGTTCCCTTTTTAGTCCCCTACCGACGAAGTCGAAGGGGACTTTAGGTTTGCACTCCGTCCGTCTGTCCATCCGTCAGTCCGGCAAATCAGCTTTCCACACTTTTTTTCTTCGTTCTTGAAGATATTGATTTGATATTTGGTATATAGTTTTATCATGACAAGTTATAGGTCAAGTTCGAATTTTGTTCCGGTCTGATGATTTAGTCCATATCTAATGTTAGAGTACTATGTTAAACCATATTTCTGTACAAAGGGAGATAACTCATTTTTTAAAAGACATTCTTTGTTAAATTATTTGAAGAATTTTTTGGCAGGTTTGGTTGTTATTTAGTATAAACTAATTTTCTGACTGCTATATATATAAAAAAAAATTATGAAGAGAAATCCTTTAATTAGATAATAATCTATTTTTATTAATGTATATATTTCAATACATTACATTGTGTAGATAAAAGTTGTTGACATTTTATATATAAGTTACAAATCTATATCAGTTTGTGACAAATGAAAGAAAAAATATTTGGAACTATTAATTATATTTGATTATAATTTGAAAATAGATATACACTATATTACATCATATCTAATTTTAGAGAACTATTAATCATATCTAATATTTTTTCACTCATATAATCAGTTTTCCACACTGTTTTTAGTCATGCTTGAAGATATTGACATGATATTTACTTTTTGTTTACACCATGACAAGTTATAGAACAAGTAAGCATTTTGTTCCAGTAAAATGAATTTTTACCCGGTAGGGGACTATGTATTACCATGCAATACTCTCAGAATGCTTGTTGTTCTCCGTCATAAAAATGTTTTACTCAAAAACTCTGATTCGCAAATAAATTGGCTTAATGATTAAAAGTTGCAATATGTTGTTGATATTTTACCATACCAGTTCATTTCTATGAAAATTGATGAAAATATATGGGTTGTGTGTTAGATTACAAGGGTGGGTTATATGAAAATACTTGAAAATATACGGAATGTGTTAATATTTAAGTGTTGGCTTTAGAAAAAAAATTCTCTGTGGCTTTAAACATAGATTGAATATGTCTTTAATTTGTGTTGCTTGTTTATTTATGCAAGAAAAGAAAGAGATTTGATAACAATTTCACAGGCAATTGTATCTAATGACAAAAATTGACTGTAGATCTGAATTGTTTTATTCAGACCTTAGTTGAGAGTGGACAGGAAAAAGACAAACTAATCCAAAGATTACAGCAGGTACATGCAGCATCACGTGGAACTATGATGGATAATAACAGACTTAGAGATGAGGCTGATGAACTTAGGAATCAGTTAGCTAAGAAAAAAGGTATTCACAATATAGTCTTCGTCTTTTTGTTTATTTCAAAACAAAACTATGTCAAAAATGTATATAGTCTTTGTCTTCTTGTTAATTTCTATATATATGAACTATATAAAAAAATGTATTTCTGAATATTACTTTGTTTTACAATAAGAAATCATTGAAAATCAGTTGCCAATTTTGTACCTCAAAAAAAAGAAAAAGAATGTTATACAGTTGAATGTCTTTTCTTAAAATGTTATCTTTGATAGTAACTTAATGAGATAATGTTGATTCACAGATGAAATTGGTGAATTAAAGCTTCAGTTAGACAGAGATGGATCAAGGAGTCCTAAAGCAGGTTTTCATGTAGCCTTAGAGGAACTGAAACTTCAGTTAGCTGTAAAAACAGAGGCTCTTAAAGCTGCTAAACAAACAGAAGAAGACTTCAGGGAACAAATTGTAAGTAAATCTGTAGAAATTTTTGGAAACAAATGAAGAGCTTTCATTTCTTGATGTCATACTTTTCTAACTTTAACCACCTCTGACATGTCTTTACTTTACATTTGTATATGTCTCTATAGCATTGCACTTTGGTTTTAACATGAGAATGAAGATATATTTAACTAAAACTGATAATTTTTTAAGATTATTTATATGAACTTTATTAGCAAAATTATTTTATTTTTGTTTCATTTCTATAGAATTCTTTACGAAAACAACTTGAATCAGCTCACCAAAGTATGAAAGAAATCCACACAACAGAAAAACAAGTGTATTACATGAGAGACAACTCTGATGGAAATAATGATCAGGTAAAAATTATCTCCCTTGGATTTTTTTTTTTTCATTGAATAGATCTTAATAAATATTAATATATATATAATTTTAAATTTGATGAGCAGCTTTAAGAAATTATTCAGGATGTCAAAATATATGATGGGATTTATAAAAAAACAAAACTTTGCATTCCCAAACAACTTTCTTTGAAATATTAAATGTGTTTGAACTATAAAGATAAAACAGGTTGATCTTGCATGATTTGTGTTTTCTATTTCACAGTACCAGGACTTTATACAAAGAGAATTGAATGAGCTGCACAGGATTCAGGAAGCTGAGAAACAAATTCTGCTGGATCTAAAGGAAAAATCAATGTTGTGAGTACTTCAGTATTTTATTGTTTCCAGACCTGTCTACAATGTAAATGTTACATATAGGAGCCCATATAAGCCAACTGTTTAACTGAGAAATTTATGATTACCTTATTCCAAGACACACAAGCAGATAAAAAATACATTTATGGTTAAAGATTTAACAACTTTAAAAAAGCCAATAATATGTTTCTGACAATATTTAATATTATAATCCTTAATCCTTTATGTCAATAAAATAGTAAAATAAGATTACTTTTTGTCTAAAGGAACAAATATTTTGCATTCAGTCCATGTAAAGAAGATTAATTATTGTTGATATTTAATTGAATATTGTCATTTGAATTATAATTTTGAAATAAATATTTAATATATTTTAATTAAAAACTAATTCAGCTTTGTAGCAGTCAATTCACAAGTGAGAGAAATAAATTAACTGGTTTAATTAAATTATACAATCAAAACAAAAACTGTGTATAACAAAATGTTCACAGTTACATGTGGATTAGATATGTCATACATAAAGGGAAAGTGAATTTGTCTATTCATAAATATAAACTATTGTACTAGAATTGTTTTTAAATGTATCAATGCAGAAAAATTAATTAATAAAAAGAAATCAAAAAATGAAAACTGTGTAGATTTTAAAAATTTCAATGATATTTTCTATAATCGATATTTTTTTGAATCCTTTAGAAACCCCTAAGGATTTATATATGAGAAAAAAAAATCAAAATATGATATTAAGCCAAATATGTGGGGAATTGACCATTTGCCTAATAGATTTGTTCCAATTTTCTGTCAGTTTTTCTGTAGTGTGTCAGAAAAAAAAACCATTTTGGTAAATTCCCAATTATTTCTGATTGAAATTTTTTCTCAACAGCTGGTATATTTTTAGAGAAATGTATTATTTTTCAGTGAGAAATCACACAATCTAGAGGCTGAAGTAGCTGCAATACAAACCCTGAAACGAGAACTAGAAGCTGGCATTCAAAGGAATAACAAACTACAGCAGCAGTTAGAACAACAGAAATCCAGATCGCCAAGCAAAGGTATCTCTTCATTTCTGATGCAATTCTTGATTGAAAAAAAAAGTACAATATATAACAAAATGAGATATTTTCATTAACAATTCATTCAAATAGCTTAAATGATATTTATTTTTTTGTGATTATTGAATTGGTTTAAATGTTGCAGACTGAAATTGATTTGTTGTTTGATGTTGACATGGTTAAGATTCACATTTCCATATCTTTGCTTGCTTTTATATCCTTCCATGAAATTTTAATGTTTTTTTTTAATTTGCATTATGGAAACATTAGAATATTTTCTGTATCAATGATTTCAGGATCCAAGGATAGTTCACAGGATGAACACTTTGACATGGAAAGAAGATTCAGTGACCAGTCAACCTGTAGTGATACTGCTGGTACATCTGACTCCAGACGGTCAAGTGACACCACACCACGTAATCAAGATATTGAAGTACCACAACATTCCTACTCTTGGCCTTTGGTCCAAAATAAAAAGCCACAGCTTCTGAAAACCTGGTCCCCATCATCAACTGATTCTGATATTCCATTGAATCGTCAGAGCTTGTCAGAAATGTCTGCACCCATGTTGAGAAAGTTTATTCGTCAAATGAAAAATCAGTTTGACAAAGCTGGAAAGGAAAATGATGAATTACGCCGTAAAGTTGATGGTTTTGATAGTCGAGAGATTCCAGGAAGAAATGACAGTGATGTTAGTAGTTTACCAGTGATGCATTTAGAAATAGAAAGACTGACACAGGAATTAAGTGTTAAGAATGAAGAGATCAGGAAACTGAAATCAAGCATAGGCTTTGCTGTCGATACTATGGACTTGAAAGATGTACCAAATTTAACAGACTTACAAAATGAAAACTTAAAATTGAAAGTACAACTTGGTAATCTTGAAGAATTGAATATGCTTCTTAAAAAGCAGATTGCTTTAAATTCACAAAGTGCTAACACAGAAGGTTTCAATCCTGAGCTTATAGTGCAAATGGCAAATGAAATTAGAAATCTTAAGACACAGTTGGACAATGTTGGTGCAAGACATGACAAATCCAATGTTTCATGCCAAACTGCACCTTGGAGTGATGCAATCATAACAAATGGTCAGATTGAAAACAAAAGTCAGAAGAGGAATTCTAAAATTCCCCAAATACAAAAACCTGCTCCAATGAGATCTAATTCTTCTGATAGAGATAGTCCAGATGTTCTTAAAAGTCTTTTGATGGAAGCTCGCGGTAGAATGCAAGCCTTAGAGGGCAAACTGGAAGCCACTGAGGGGACTGTAAGACTTCAGACCAAAAAGATGAAATATTATCGTAACTTATTAGAGGAAAATGGACTATCATTTAAGAGTCCTCTAGGAAGCCGTTCAAACAGTGAATCAAACATTGTCATGGCTCTTGGAGGTAGAAACTTGTGTAGGAACAACAGGACTCTTTCTTACGATAACATTCCTGAATTATTGGTGGACTCACAAACTGAATCTTCAGAGTCAGATTTTTCAGAAAAATACAAAAGTTATGGAAATACAGATAATGTTTCTGAGTTGAAGGAACAGGTCAGACAACTTAAGACAGTCATGGAGAAATATAAAGCTGTAATAAAGTCACAGATGTCACAGGTAAAAATAGTTGTTAGTCATTTGATAATGAAACAGGTATTGCTTGAAGTAAATGGCACTGTGCCATGGTTTTTTATCATCCAATTGTATATTTTTAAAAGATTTATGTTTCCAGAAATTTCAGAAAGTAGTTTCAGATTAAAATTTAAAAGAGAAGTTTATTTTGTTTGTGGTAACTTGCCTGGATAACTTCATAAATACTTTAGGAACTCTAGCATAAATTGTGAAGAACACAGGCTGCTGAAGATACTTTTGAGTGGGGAGAGGAATCAAAATACCTTTTAGGGATATTAACTGGTTCTATGTTTAAACAGCATTGCTAAGATATTTGTTACTGTAAATTTTCAAGATTGTTTTTGTCGAGCCTTCGACTTTAGTCGAAAAAGCGAGACATAGCGATCCTACATTCCGTCTTCGTTGTCGTCGGCGGCGTCCACAAATATTCACTCTGTGGTTAAAGTTTTTGAAATTTTAATAACTTTCTTAAACTATCCTGGATTTGTACCAAACTTGGACAGAAGCTTGTTTATGATCATAAGATAGTTGTTAGTCATTTGATAATGAAACAGGTATTGCTTGAAGTAAATGGCACTGTGCCATGGTTTTTTATCATCCAATTGTATATTTTTAAAAGATTTATGTTCCCAGAAATTTCAGAAAGTAGTTTCAGATTAAAATTTAAAAGAGAAGTTTATTTTGTTTGTGGTAACTTGCCTGGATAACTTCATAAATACTTTAGGAACTCTAGCATAAATTGTGAAGAACACAGGCTGCTGAAGATACTTTTGAGTGGGGAGAGGAATCAAAATACCTTTTAGGGATATTAACTGGTTCTATGTTTAAACAGCATTGCTAAGATATTTGTTACTGTAAATTTTCAAGATTGTTTTTGTCGAGCCTTCGACTTTAGTCGAAAAAGCGAGACATAGCGATCCTACATTCCGTCTTCGTTGTCGTCGGCGGCGTCCACAAATATTCACTCTGTGGTTAAAGTTTTTGAAATTTTAATAACTTTCTTAAACTATCCTGGATTTGTACCAAACTTGGACAGAAGCTTGTTTATGATCATAAGATAGTTGTTAGTCATTTGATAATGAAACAGGTATTGCTTGAAGTAAATGGCACTGTGCCATGGTTTTTTATCATCCAATTGTATATTTTTAAAAGATTTATGTTCCCAGAAATTTCAGAAAGTAGTTTCAGATTAAAATTTAAAAGAGAAGTTTATTTTGTTTGTGGTAACTTGCCTGGATAACTTCATAAATACTTTAGGAACTCTAGCATAAATTGTGAAGAACACAGGCTGCTGAAGATACTTTTGAGTGGGGAGAGGAATCAAAATACCTTTTAGGGATATTAACTGGTTCTATGTTTAAACAGCATTGCTAAGATATTTGTTACTGTAAATTTTCAAGATTGTTTTTGTCGAGCCTTCGACTTTAGTCGAAAAAGCGAGACATAGCGATCCTACATTCCGTCTTCGTTGTCGTCGGCGCGGCGTCCACAAATATTCACTCTGTGGTTAAAGTTTTTGAAATTTTAATAACTTTCTTAAACTATCCTGGATTTGTACCAAACTTGGACAGAAGCTTGTTTATGATCATAAGATAGTATCCAGAAGTAAATTTTGTATACAAAATAAAATTCCATTTTTTCCGTATATTGTATATTACTTATAAATGGACTTAGTTTTTCTGCCAGGAAATATTACATTCACTCTGTGGTTAAACTTTTTAATAGCTTTCTTAAACTATCCTGGGTTTATACCAAACTTGGACAGAAGCTTGTTTATGATCATAAGATAGTATCTAGAAGTAAATTTTGTAAAAAAATAAATCCATTTTTTCCTTATTTTACTTTTAAATGGACTTAGATTTTCTGCCAGGAAACAACACATTCACTCTGTAGTTAAAGTTTTTTAAATTTTAATGACTTTCTTATACTATTTTGGATTTGTACCAAACTTGGACAGAAGCTTGTTTATGATCATAAGATAGTATCTAGAAGGAAATTTTGAAAAAAAATAAATCCAATTTTTCCGTATATTGTATATTACTTATAAATGGACTTAGTTTTTCTGCCGGGAAATATTACATTCACTCTGTGGTTAAAGTTTTTAAAATTTTAATAACTTTCTTAAACTATCCTGGGTTTGTACCAAACTTGGACAGAAGCTTGTTTATGATCATAAGATAGTATCTAGAAGTAAATTTTGTAAAAAAATAAATCCAATTTTTCCGTATTTTACTTTTAAATGGACCCAGATTTTCTGCCAGGAAACAACATATTCACTCTGTGGTTAAAGTTTTTAAAATTTTAATAACTTTCTTATACTATTTTGGATTTGTACCAAACTTGGACAGAAGCTTGTTTATGATCAAATGCTAGTATCTAGAAGGAAATTTTGTTTTCTTCCAGTTAACATTACATTCAGTCTGCAGTTAAAGTTTTTAAACATTTATTAGATTCATAAACTATCCTGGATTTTTACCAAACTTGGACAGAAGCTTCTTTCAATCAAAAGATAGTATCAAGAGGAATATTTTTATTGATTTACTTCCTCATTTGTTGAATACTTATGGTGCATGATTACCAGTTTGCTTGCAAGTGGGACAAACGTTTTTATTATTTTTTATTTTATTCAATTAGGAGGACACTACTTTACATTCTTAATACTTAAAATAAATATCAGACGATGCATTGAAATAAGTTATGAATTCAAAATAAGACATTTTTTATCAATAGATCTACACCAATAATCTCCCAACTGGTTGTCAGGTATACTTACTTCTGAAAAATAAGCAAGAGCATAAATTTCTAGATTTCTTTATTACATGTTGTGTTTCAGAGAGATGCAAGTATGGGTCAGAGAGACACAAGTATGGGTGGAATGTCAACGCAAACGCATCATGATATGGATGACACATTTATCCCTCGTCAGTCTTTGCGTGACTTACAGTGTAAATTGTCTGCCTCAGAAGAAAATAACCTCTACCTAAGACAGAAAATATCAGGACTTGAAAACAGTTTATCTGATTTGAAATTAGAATTGAAGAGATATCAAAATCAAGATCAGTTGGATGGTCATAATATTTCTCAGGGATCACCCTCAAAACAGATCATTGAAACACACAAAACTGAAATTCTTTTCCTACGCAAAAAATTAGCCGAAACTCAGAATTCATGTGTTCAATTAGAAGGATGGCTAAATGAATTGAGTGAATTTTTAAGTGAATTGATGCATGTTGACGAAGATGGTCGCCATGGTAACATGAGAGGAATTAAACAGAAAGTAGACAAATCACGTCATATGATTCAGTCCATGTCATCAACTTTATTAGGTAGCTCTTTTTGTGACATTTTTTTTTACTTTTCTTATCAAAAGTAAATATAAGTTCATATATTGCTTAAAAATGTAGAGCTTTAAATAAGGGTTAGATCTAGCAACTTTTGAAAGATCAAAAAGGGTTCTTAATGATATATCTAGAGAGAAAAAAGATGTTCCAATCTTGCTTTTGTTGTTTTTATGTGTTTTTTAAAATTTAAATCAAAAGGGGATTTGACCTCAGATCTTTTATGTTTTAAAACATTACCTCTTTATTAATGCAAAATGACAGAAATTGATGGGTCAACTTGAATATAATGTAAACTGGATCTTATAAATACATTTATATTATGAATATTTTTAAGTTCTAATTAACTTTTTTTATGATGCATAATCTTTTGAACATTTCCAGAACAAGATTTCACAGAGGGTTCATTTTCAGTAAATGAGGACAGCACATTTTTTAACGGCAACGATAGCATCAGACAGAATATACAAACGTAAGTATACCTATAGTCAGAGGTCAAAAGTGTTTCATTATTTGAAAATTATGATATACATTATGAGGTACTAATGGGTAAAGATGCTGTTTGTTCTTTTAACTGAAATTTTCAATTGTTCCATTGAAATCAGTACCACTTCATAATAAGGAGAATGTTGTGCATATTTGTGACACTTTTCTACATTTCAAACATGAAAATTTTGGCACCGGATGGACAGAGAATAATTAATCACCTTAGAATGAATACAACAAGATATGAACTATTCAGAATATACATCTGATGGATGGTATGACCTTAATTTCATGGTTCATTGATCACGGTTGTTTTCAATGTAAGGTATTTTAATATGAAGCAGATTAAATTTCAAAATTTATTTATGCCAAGATTATACATAACTATAGTATAGACCATTATAATGGTTCAGTGATCACCTTTGATATGCTAAATGTTTTATTTTTGAGTATTAGGCTGAACTTAGTGGTGTAGCACTGTTTCCATGGGCACAGACTTATGTTCAATATGTTTTGTTGAACAAATGTAAAATGCACACGAGAGAATAAATGATTATGTAATCATGATAGTTATCCTAATGTATTTGTAGTTTAACAGAGGAATTGAGCAAGAAGAATTTGGAAGTTGAAAAATTGACTGAAGAAGTAATCAGAAAAAACTCGAGAATAAGTCAATTAGATCAAAGTTTACTGGTTACCCAAAATAAACTGTTACTGGTACAGGGTAGTCAAGGTTCAGTAACTACAAATGGACATAATTCCAGTAGATCTTCGGATCATATGGGGACTAGTCATACAAGGAACACTGTCTCACCAATAAGATCACCAACATCAACGACATCAGACACCAGAAGATTCAGCGACATGTCAAATTTTAATCAAAATGAAAAATCCACAGAAAGGTTACGTCATGCAACAGGAACTTCTGATGGAAGTACTGCGCCATTTGGGCATTCAGTTAATGATGTGAACTTTACCCAAGAAACTATGGACTCGAGTATGAGATCAGCAGGGACCCAAGATAGTACTTCCAGGTCATTCATGAAAAGTCATCAGAATGGAGTTTCAGACTACACATGTACAAGCATGTTGGGTTCTGAAGAACGTATGATGGACAATCGTCATGACTTTTATGATGCATCTCATACACCTTCTTATCTCCATAATGGAAACGATGTCACTTTTCCTAGTCTCCATTTTGAAAACTCGCACAGAGAAAATGACAATTCAAGACATGTGACGTTTTCTGATGCAACAGGACGTGAAAGCCCTGTTAACAATGTCAGTGTTTTGACCACCCGTCTTAATGCATTAGAAGATTTAAATAGAACTTTAAAAGATGAGGTAAACCTGTATGAAAAGATGTGCACATCTATGGGGACACAAATATCACCAAGGAAATCACCTAGTAAGTCAGCAGGGGATCTGGATAAAGACCTTCTACTTGAACATTTACAAGAAATACGTGCCCTACGTACAAAACTAGAAAAGTCATTGGAAGATAGTGACAGACTTAGAGAGGCACTTGAGAGGGACATGAAGAAAGATAATGTTGAAACAGATTTTTCCTCAGATGTATATCTGTATAGTCAACATCAGTCAGTTGTCAGAGAGTTACAGTTCACTATACAGAAACTGGAACAAGAACTAGCGGATAAAGATGACCTAATCAACAGTGTACATCTCCGTGCTGAAAGAGAAAATATGGTATCTCATAACAGGTCAAGTTTTGCTGAATCATCACATTTTCATGACATGACACAAACTGTAGAAAAGTTGAAACAGTTGTTAAGGGAAAGAGAAGAAAAAGTTACTGAATTAAATAGGTCAGTAACAAAACATGAAAATGACATGCAACAAATGTGTCATTGTAATAAAGAAAAAGAAACTGTGATTCACAAATTAGAGCAAAGACTTTCACAGGCCGAAACGGCAGCTGAAAAAAAGTCAAAAGATCATCACATGTTGGTTCAAACCTTAGAAAAAAGTATTTTCGAAAAAGAGAAAGTGATTAAAGAAAAGTTGTCAGTTATAAGAGAAACAGAAAAAATTATTGAGGAAAAAGTTGTAACTATTCGTGAGAAGGATGAACAATCTGTCGAAAATAAGAAAACATTGGTGCTTCAGCAAAGAAAAATTGAGGAATTTGATAAGACAATGATTCAAATGAAGAAGAAACTTGACCTCCAGGAACAAAGTCTGCATCAACAAGAACAGAAATTAAAGGAACAATATGATATCATAAAACAACAGGATGATCAAAATAGACAGTATATTGAGGCTATACAACAGAGAGATGATCAAATCAAACAGTATGAGATTGCTATCAGCAGGTACTGTTATTATCTTGTGTAGATGTAAAGAAACTTTTTCATAACATAGCTTACAAAGCCCTTTTTTTAAAGGGGAAGAATTAATCTGGAATAGATAGTTTACACTATGTATTTTGATTAGAAGTTCCCCCTGTTTATTGAGATTAAGATTGAGGTATTTTTTTTTTTATCAATTTCATAATGAGTTTTTAAAATGCCATTAGGTCTTTAGTTTAAAAGAGAGAGAGAAACAGTCATTAAATACATTGATTGATTGATAGATATTTGCTTTACACTGCATAGCACAATAAGGCTATATTGCAGAGAGATAAGCATCATTAATTACAAAGAACTCAGTGAATTAAAAAATGTACATCAAAAGAAATACATTCTGTAAAATTTATAATGTAAATTCAGAAATGTTTTCGTGCATTTATTTTTTGTGATTGTTGAACAATTGACAAAAATGTGAGTTTAATTATAAGGGCTATTCCATTAAAATGTATGTGGGAGGGTAGGAAGGGACTTTCAAAATATCCCTACAACCAAGAACCATTTTTTACATAATTTTGCATAATGGTAATAGACGCATACTGAGTTTGGGAAACCTGCAATAATAAAACATTGCAAAAAAATTCTGAATTTACTGAAGGTTTAAGAATGTATGTAGTTTGATGAACACTATTTTTAATATAGAAGAGAAGAAAAGATAAAACAACTAGAACTTACAATCAGGTCTGTAGAAGATGAAAGACAGTCTCTAGAAACTTCAAGTCGAAGACGAGAGGAAATTTGTCAACAGAGAGAGGACAAACTGAAAATTCATGAGGAACAAAGAAAAACTGAAATAGAAAAAGCCAAGAAGAACGAATTGAATCTCAGAAAAGCTGCTAGAGAAATAAAAAGGTATTCAAAATTTCTGCGGTATTAAATAAAATCCAGCAGTAGTCCAGCACATCCTAAGCATGGAGTCTATAAAAGATTTTAGATATAATATTATGGAAGAATATAAGAAAAACTAGAATTTAACTTTGTATTATATAACTGTATTAAAAGTAATGTCCATATCAAATTAAAATATTTTGATAAAATTTGCACCGAAAGCATTTAAAAAAGTTAAAAGGGAATAAAATTGTTATTTGAGTTTTTTCTGTGCACTACATGTAATTAAATGTTACAATATTGACACGAAGTTCTGATCTTTAACACTGAATATTTTAGGGTTGTTTTTTTTATTGTAGACTCAACACAGAAGTAAAGACTCTACAGGAACAAGTCCAGGAAAATAAAGACCTCAATCAAACAATGAAATTAGAACTTAGTGTGTATGAAAAATTAGAAAAACAAGGTAAACTTGAATTCATATTGTTAAAGACACCTGACCAGATATTATGTAATGCATCTAACTCAATGGAGATGTTGGGGTATAGGTTAATGAGATTTATTGATTGAGTGCATAACATCCAGTGGCAAATATTTCATGCATATTCCGGACAATAGGTCAATGCAACTTCAACAAAACCACAACAAAGAGGTGAAAAAGTACACCTGGAAGTCAACATATAAAATTCTTCAATGATAGACTTGGAATATTTGTTAATCCACAGTTTTTACTAAAAATGGCCATTTTACTTTCACTTTTTGTTAAATTATTTTTCGATTTCAGAAAAATTAGCCTAAAAAAATATATATACCATAATGTGAGTTATTATTACCATATGCGCCCAGTCTCATTATTATTATTGATAAAAACCTTGCATACAGTTTTTGTCTATTTACTAGTGTAATCCATTTTTTCTTTGATTTTTAGAAGGTGATTATGATACAATGGGTGGATTTGACATTAGAGATTTGTTGACAGAAATAAGACATTTAAGAGTTCAATTAGAGAGATGTATTGAGACCAACAATGCTCTCAGACAGAAACTGGAGGAACACTTATTACATCAACATAGTCCAAGGTCACACCCAAGTAATGCTAAAAGTCAAAGTCCTGCAAGATCAGGTAGGTTTGTCTAAATTTGTAGATCATGCTGATATGCAACAGAAAACTTCAAATGATAATGATGATTTAACTTTAAAATGAAAATTAAAAAAAGAACAGTTGTAGAGGTTGAGGATTGTATGAATCAGAATTTTTGAAGTTCATGCTGTGATCTTAAAATGTATAAGACTGATTTTCTTGAATTACTATACTGTGGATTCATTATTATTCGTTGGATACCAATTTTCGTGGATTTCGTGGGTACAGGTGAACCTCGAAATTAAATGTTCAACGAATAACAAATTTTCCATAGGCTTGTATGCAGACTTCGTCAAAACCACGAAATTAAATATCAACGAACATGTAAGTTTTCCTTAATCCACGAAAATTGGTACCCACGAAAATAAATGAATCCACAGTATATATATATATATATATATATATAATATTTGAATGCAAATCTAAATGATATTAAATAGGCACTACCACTGGAACTGATGCAACAGATGGTCAGCCCAGTCCTGAGAAACCAAGAGTTCAGCATGAAAACTCACAGAGCAGTCAACTAAGTAGTGTTGCCAGTCTCTCACAGAGCTCTAGTGTTAGTGAGGATCATTTTGGTAAGGATGTACATGTTTTAATAGTTTAATACTTTGTTTAATATATTAAGACAAAAGTTTTTCTTAAATCATTGCTTTTTGGTAATTATTTGCTTATTTTTTTTTTAAATTTAAAACTTCATAAAGTGTGAGCCATAAGAAAAATGCACTGATAATATTGCACATAATGGTGGCTTTTCTCTAAAACTATAATCTAACTTTTGAAACTTACTCTTACTACAATGTATAATAAAGTGTGTGCTATATAACCAAGCTGATATGATTGTATGGTTGATCTTTTATGGATGGGACTTGAAATATAAATGCTTATTGTCCTATTGAATTTAGTTGAATGCCAATTTCATGAGAGAGAAAAAACTTGACAAATATTTAGATATGCAAAAGTGATCAACCTTACAAGCATTTTGCTTTTAATAATTTTGTAATTGTGTGATTTAACCAACAGCTGCACAAAGTCTTGACATCCACACATGGCCAGGTACTTCATTTGACAGAAAACATGATACCGTTACATCAACTCATTCCCTGCCTATAGGTCCTTTACATAGGTCACTCACTGAAATAATACACAAGGAAAGGAAACCAGAAGGAAACCTGTCATATTATGTTGATGACCCTCCAAGTAAATTAGCAGGTAAAGTTGTGCAGTTGAAGAATCAAAATTGACAGTGTTATTTTCGGTATTCAATAGTAATTCAAAAGCATGACTGCGAAATTAGTTTTCCTGTCTCTTTTTTTATTGTCAAATTTTAAGGGAAATATGCCAAAAAGTGTAACTACTTTTGTAGGAGGTCATTTATTGACTGGATTTTTCCAGGTTATGTATACAATGTATAGAACTGCTTTTGAAGCAATTTTTCATATATTTGTTTTTATGTCAATTCTTTTATAATGATAGATCACCACTAGATTGTTTTGTCAACCAAAATAAATTAAATAACATTTTTACATCATGGATAAAAAAAAAAGAATTAAAGTTGTCAGTTTGTGATATTCCAACCATTTATCTTTACTTTCAGATTTCACCTTCCAACAAACAGTAGACTCTGATTTGAGAAATCTGTTTGCTGTAGGCAAGCTTGATGATTATGAAAAACTTAAGAAAGAAAATTATGAAAGTTTAATAGTGCTGAATGGTGTTGAAGCAAGAATTCAAGAAAGATTAAAGATGTTTAAAACTGCTCCTGTATCAGAGGTATGTCATAAACATGAGTCTGTATTGTTACAGTTTATTTGATATTTAAAAAAGCAGCTGCCTAGAAATTTATAGTTTCAAAAAATGTAAAAACTCATCTCTTTATATAACAAATGGTGTAAGTCAGGTTTATTGTTGAGGTCAAAATTTTAGACACTTCAAACCATAGAGGAATTAAATTTTGTGAGTTTACATATCTCTTGGATTAAAAAAAAAATGGTGCATACAAAAATTGGGTCTTAGCTGTCTTTATTTTATGTGGAATGTCTGGTTAAGTTTTATGGCAAGGTCTGGATCGAAGCTTATTAGTTATAATGGAGTGCACACAATTTTGATATTTAAGAAGGTCAATGCTGAAATCGGGTCACATGAAATTATATTTTATGACTCGTGTAAGGATTTGTTTCAAGATAAAAAAAAATTAGGATTTTTAAAAAATTCCATGAAAAAAGCCACCCTCAAGTACATTTTACACATGAATGACTGCTTAAGTTCTATATCTGTTCAAAGCAACTATAAGTTCAAGGAGTGTTTTTTCAGTGGACACATCTTAGATGGTTACAAGGGTGACTGGGGGAAAGAAGTATGGTCACCATTGGTCTTCCTCCGACCGGCAGTAAAACCCTTGCTAAAGTGGGGCGTCCGTTTGGCTGTGCGGGATGTACAAATTTGCAGCCACGTCCGGTCAGAATGGGGACGTTAAATCCGATGCCATGTGTATAGAGTGTGCCACGCTCTTTGCACGTTAAGAACCCTTGCAACAACTCTTTGAGGGGTCTGTAGGTGACCTGTTGCAAGGCTAAATTTCTGTCCCTATCCAATATACCCTAATTTCCTGTGGCAGTCTAATTTTCTCCGACCTTAATCCTGGACGCCCCAATTACAGAACCTACCTATTGTATTTATTGTTAATTTGTTCTGGTCCTGAATATGCATGAAATATTTGCCACTGGATGTTAAGCAACCAACAATCAATCAATCAATCTTAGATGGTTATAAAGGCCTATGCGAAAATTGGGTGGTCTCAACCAACATTTTCCGCATATCAAACAATAACAAATCATAAGGGGAATGGCATTTTGTCCTGGTGCTGTTCTTGGATATTAAAGCAAAAGCACTCTTGTATTTTTTATAAGTATTGAATCAATTAACATTTTCATGGAATCTGATATCTTACATTTGCAATGTACTTATTATTTCAAAGTGGTAAAGAAAAAATAAGAAATTTATATTTTTCCATACTCACTCGAAATCATATTTTGAATTTTTAAAACTATAATTTCATAATAAATCATCAACACATTATATTATTGAAAACATGACAATATTTAGTCAAAATACTATTTATGATATATTCTTGCTTTTTCAAAAAAATAGTGCATAGAAAGCTTTTAATCATTGGAAAATATTATGTTTAATTTCCAGATCATAAAGGTAGAATTATATATATTTGCATGTTAATATTATACATTTAGATAATTAATGTCAATATGGTATCTTGCTTCCTTGCATGTTGTATGAGTCTTATATTTTGGTATACAGTCAAGTATGGTATATTTTGGTTCGCCTTGTATGTCTGTTTATTTCATTTAATTAAAACTAAATGAATAGACTAGTCGGAATAAATGAGTTGTTGTTAAGCTTTATATCCCTTTATGGTATGAGACCCTGAAATATTTTGGCAATGGCCTGTCTCCTTATTAGACCATTGAAAATTTACTGTTTCATTTCCTTAACAAAATAATCAGGTTATACAATTGTTATATACTGATCTATCTCCATATATTTATGTATGTTTCATTTCCAATTTTTTTTTAAGCGTTTTTATAAAAAAATAGATTTTATATCAATTGAAAGAAATTCTGTTTAATTACTGTAATATAAAGCATACATAGGAAAGTTGAGAAAATTAAATGAAATTTTTTTTATGATAATATCTTCTAACATATGAAACTATGATAAATTATTCAAAAACTGAGATTTTTTTTTTTAATTGTATGTGAAATGATACAAAATATATTTTTATTACAAAAAATTAATTCATAGAATTTTAACAAGATAATTTTGGCAAGAGATTTTTAATACAATTTCTGAAGATTATTTGAAAAGATATAAAACAGTATGAGGTTTATATGACAATGTAAAAAAAAACTGTTTCAACAATGTTTGTGAGACCTTGAATGGAAGTTTGCATGTTTGATGATATTTGCCTCCTAAGTATCCCCTTAATTAGAGTTCTAGGGAAAAAAATCAGAATGATTAGATTTTGAGTTGAATAAAACAAGCTTTTAATAGTACATTATTGAATTACTTGGGAATGGCTGTAAAATTATCTGATACTGATGGTGGTAACTAATGCATGATATGAATATAGTGGTATTATATATGTAGGACTCTAAAGTGCGATGGTACTCTAAAGTGCGATGGTCACGCTAAAGTGCGATGGTCTACGCTAAAGTACGATGGTGTCTTACGCTAAAGTGCGATGGTTGTTTGTTTGCTAAAGTACAATGGTATTTCACGCTAAAGTGCGATGGAACAATAGGGTAAGGTTCGAGGGCTTAAAACATTCAGTAAAGTGCATGGATGTTAAAAACAAGTCTTTTTGCAAAAGCTAGTATGCTAAGGTATAACATATGTAATAGGCTTTATGATTGACCGGTAGGCTATAAAGTGATTGTTTCTAAATTTAGAAGACCGACCACGTAATCATTGCTAAAAAAGTAATTTATGTGTCACAAAATACTGTATTTCTTGTTAAATGATTTTTTAACAATTTCTTTGGTATAAAATATTTGGATAATTGGTGTAGCTTGTCGCTGAATGATGCTTTTATGAATCTTTTATTAGGTAGATCTACATTGTAAGTCATTATAAATTACAAATACAAAATGCTTTCATTGTCGGAATAAGTAAGTTAGCATTTATTGATACAAGACTTCAAGCTTAAATGCGAGAAAAATGCGATATTCGCCGAGCTTTCTCCTTTTTTTCACAAATACATGTCATATTTTCCTACACTGAACAAGCTATGTTTTAGCCGACAATTTATAATTTACGCTTAAAAAACATATACCTTTATTTTACCGACGTTACTTTTCAATAAAATCGACTGACAATATTTTAATGGGGACAGCAAGGTAAACTGCAACGTAAACAAATCATATGATTTAAATGTATCCGTTCGCTTCCAATAGAAGCAGGATACAGGATACCTATGCGTATACTATTTTGTATCTATATAGTAAAATGGTCGACTGCAGGACACAAGGCCTTCTTACCCCAAAAAACACATTTGCTTCAGCCGACAAAGCACGGTTAGGTCTGAAATTAAGTCATGGACATATGATTTAAAAGTTGTTAATCAAATATTCTTAATTTATCTTCCGGCATATTCATTTTTGGTTTGTATAAACGACTGTTAACGTCATAATCCAACTACGTTTCTTACGTCTATACTTTCGCGGACCATCGGACTTTAGCGTACAGAGGCATCGCACTTTAGCGCAGACCATCGCACTTTAGCGTGACCATCGCACTTTAGCGTCCCCATCGCACTTAAGAGTCCTACATATATGTACCTATGTAGCATGATTGGTGGATGTATAAGTTAAGCTATATATACATGGTGCAATCTACAAGTTTGTACGTTTGATTGCTGGTTCAACAGAAGTGCTAGTTTATGCTAATATATTATGGAAATTGAAAGTTATTCTTCTCTGTAATTTTTTTAAGAATATACCTATAGCAAAGAAATTTTCAATTAAGAATATAATCACATGAATTATTGCAGTTTGTTTTTCTGCAAATTAGGAAAAATGACAGGAAAAGAAGAAATAGCAAAAAGGACATGAATGAAAAATAGAAAAGCCACACTTCTGATTTCTATATGAAAAAAATGATTTTCTCTGCAGATATGAAATCATTATTCATTATAATATAAAATAAGTAATATACATGTACCACAAAGGACAATTGATATTGATATTAAGGACTATATTTGGCTCAAAATATAGCTAAAGTACAGAAATAAGAAAATGCCATGCAATATTAAAGGACAAGGTTCACTTTAGGCCAAATATGACCTTGAATTTCAACTTTATCATAAAATTTCAAAATGGCCATAATTTGGTTCTTAAATGGATCTATTTCAAAAGCCTGACTTCTAGGTTAAACAAATCTCTTCATTAGAGTACATTCTTGTCTTCATATTAAGCACATTTTGGACATTTTGTCAATAAACAATGATTTTGTGCATTTTTCGGAACTCAAAGCTTTTAGGAAACTCTTGGCTGCAATCTAGGATCCAAAATGATCTGTAGCCAAAAGTTGCCAATGTTTATATTGAATCCCTAGACACTAAAATTATCTGGATCAGGAGTGAAAATTGAAAATTTGACCAAAATGATGTTACGAAACAAATAATGCATACTTGAGGGGTCATTTCTTCGTCATTTTTGATGTGAGGTGACAAAAAGTATTTATTTTGTATTAAAAGTTGTATCACAACTATTCTATGTGAAATTTGTAGTATTAAAGCCTGATTAAAAAAAGTATTATTAAAATTTTAACCCTTCTTTATCTTACTGCTTTGGAAATAACAAGAAAACATTCACATTCAAGTTTTCTTAGTGAAAAAGGATTGAAATTTATTTCTTTCAAAAATACCAAAATTTTTATATTCTCCTCATTTACATAAATGTTGGATTGCACATGAAAATCCAACTCTTTATTTGGTATTACCTTATCATCTTAAAGATTGATTTATTTAGAATGTTCCCTTATTTGAGCTAAACAATGCCCTCAATACCATCTTGTTCTTTGCCAGCATTTGCTTAGAAGATAGTTTGTTTATAATACTGCATAGTATTCAGGGAAGGTTGTTAAAGTAATAGTATTTTGTGTACAAAATTTGACTGTTAAATGAGATCATGTTGTTTTTTTTTCTTTCAGAGTATAGAATACAGTACCCTTAAGGAATTGTCACTTAGTGTAGAGAACATGAAGATTTGTTTGAATGAGGAGAAGTCATTGATAACATGTTTCTGGACTACTACATTACCAAAAGGGGATACATCTGGACAGAAGCTTATGACTGAGGTACTTGTAATCTCTTTTTAAAGTAATGTAAATGCTGAAGGGTCCACCCAAATTTGATCTTAAAGTAGGGTTTTATTATTGTTGAAAAAAAGCTAAGGTTTTTTGTATCAGATTGTTACCCTAAGTATAAAACTTGCTGTTTTTTTTTGTTTTATACTTTAGTAAGAGAGTTTTCCCAGGTTTAAAACATTGGTAACAATAAACAAAATTGCTCAGTAATAAATACAGGAAATATTTGAAAATGAATTTAACATGTCTTTTTAAAATAAAGATGGATATCCAGTTGACTTCATAATGTTGGAACTTAGCCCTAGCTTTGGATAATTCTAACAAATGTGTGGTACAAGATTTTAAAATTCTGTTAATTTGTAAAAGAGCAATGTTAGAAATAGGGATTAACTATTTAAACTTTACATTTGTGTACTTTAATTTTTGAAGTAAGTCAACTATTGTTTGAGAAACATTATTTTTTTTATTCTTTTAGAATGATGCCTTAAGAAATGAATTGTATGCTACTAGAACCAAGTATGAGCTGATGTCGAAACTTGTTCATGATGCTGAAGAAAGACTTCATGCCTCCAATAGACAGAAGCAGACTATGGAGGATATTATATATAAACAATGTAAGTACACCATTACTGTGCAATGCATATGCAATCTTACTTTAGGGTAATAAAATTAAAAAAAGGAAAGATAGATTTTCTTTTCAACATTAAAATGTAGGTTTTGTAAGGAATTAGTATGATTTAAAATTCTGCAAATACATTTTGAAATATTGCATTTTTCTAGGATGTATATGATAAAATCTTTTATTTTAAGCAATATTTTCTGTAATTTGAATAATGATGCATGTTGTTGATTTTTGTATCTCTTTCATGTATGAATGAAATTTGTTATTGATGGAATCTTCCTTTCCAGATGACAAAATACTAAATGGTCTGATTGTTAGTGGACAGTACAACAATATGTTTGCATGGTTGGTTCATCCACAAAAAATCTTGAAAAACCACTCCACAAGAAATCTTTTTCCTTTAAATGTACACTTTTCTTCTCTCTATCTTTTCTCTGTAAAACCTATAACTTAAACACTTTATTTCAGTTTATCACAATGTGTAAGTCATTTTCACTTGCTGAAACCTATTATTTCTAACATTGATGTGATTTTTTTAGTTTGCTTATCCAGATAAATGAAAGAAGAATTGCTTAATAGATTTTCAATCTTACATATATATATTTATATACTTAGAATATGAGAGATATCTATAGATTCCTTCATGATAGATAGTTTATGCTGATTTCAAATAAAGTGTTGTGTCCAAAACAAAGGAAGTGCTTCTAATAAATGATATTTAAAGCTGAAACAGCTATCAATGATAATTTAAGAATAGATATAATATTAGGGACAGCTAGAGATTTTAGTACAAAATTAATTTCCGAGAAAAATTACACAATCTAAGCAGTTCCAAAGTAAACTAAAATCTACAATGAATTCTTTTTCAATCAAGAGTGCATGATCTTGACAATTTTATTCCATGTTACTTCTTCTGTTTTGAACAGGATCATTTCAAAGATAAATAAGTTGATCAAATTGCCATGCTTGTTGTTTTAAAAAAATAATGATTTTCCTTTGTAACAGCTAAGATCTAACTAGGTGTAACCCTGTATTCCCTTTAATACAAAGGAATCAAATTGACTAAAGTTGTTTATTTCTTACCCATTGTAATAGACCTGTAGCTGAAATACATTTTGGAAACAATTTTACCTTATGACTGGATATGCTGTAACAAAAAAGTGTGAATTTAACATTAATTTGAATCAGATTTACTCTTCTGTGTGTCTTCTTTCTAATATTTAACTATTTTTCCAAGCTTGTAACAGTACTTTAGATAGATTATATGATTTAAAAATGGCTTTATTAAGGAAATTGATCCAAGATAAGCTGCCTTAATTTTGAATTTTCCTTTAAATATTTATATATACTTCTATTCATTTTTTGTGTGTTTATTTATGAAAAAATGTAAGGGAAAGGTTTTTAGTTGTCCCAAATGATGACAATTTATTTATTAAGTTGCAAAACTATCTATTGGTCCATGGACACAGTTATCGTCCTTTGATTTTGTTGTCTACAAATATAGTCCCTAGCGTGGACAGTGTAAAACTTGCAAATTTTCTTCATACACATTCCAAATTTATTATTTTATATTTTATGCATAAAATATTTCTACATGTAAAAAAATTTGGGGCATGAATTTTAAGGTAAAGTAGTGATTTGGCCCAGTTTGAAAATGTCAAAAATTAGTATGCCTGAAGCACTGCTTACCTGCCAACTTTTCAATATCTCCATAGGGGATTTTAAGTGCCATAGGACCTAATGCTCCTCTTGTATTGTCATAAGTTTTTTTAATCAAATACTATATTGTTTGAATGAGTATGTATGTGCTTAAATACCCTTTTAACCCATTTGAATGCCTGTTTTGAGGTGTTCAGTTTATATAATAAAGAATTTGAAAATTCATGTCAACACCTCTCATGGGGATATCCCCATAAATCGGGATAGTTGGCAGGTCTGAAGCAATCAAACTGAATTATATCCTTAACTTGAAATTGTCCATATTTTGAGTTAAAGCAAATAGACCTGTCTATAATTTGAATATAATTTGTCCCAAAAGTAGTACACTACACTGTAAAAATCTTATTAGGACAGAGCAGGTGCAATTTTTTAATTGCATTTATCGTCTAAAAGAAATTCACTTCGAAATAACTGTTCTCCTGCCTATTCCTTACTTTACATAAGATTATGAGTCATGGGCATCTGATCAAAATTTGTATTCCTTTTTTTTTGTAGTGAAAAGGACAACAAAGGTGATGGCAAAAGCAAGGACAAATTTTGAAAAAGTTTCAGAGTTTCAACAGGAGAAAGAAAACCTATTGAAAAATGTGAATATAGATGTTGATGATATCGAATCAAGCATTGACAACTTTTCCTCACGGTGACACCGATACACACAATAGATACTATTTTTCTCTATTTATTGATGAAATCAACAATTTATTGTTACAGTGATATTATTAATCTTACAATATATATGTCATGACAGAGTATGTACTATTAAAAATTGTTACATAAAAGTACAAACAAGTTAACATTAGCCCAGTCAGGGACTTTAATTGACAGCAAATTGTTACAGACCCAGAGAATTTTCATGACAAACATTTATATGATGTAACCACTGAATGTCATAATTACTTAAAGAAAAATTATGTCTGCCTTGACAAGACTCATGATTTACGAGAAGAAGCATAATCTAAATATTCCTCAAATACTGACTAGATATAGTTGTTTTTTATTCAACTGTAGAGGAAAAATAAGCCTTCTTTCTTCAGTATTAAACTTTGTTATGACTTGATATGTTATTTGTAAGTTATTTGTTCACATGCCTTTATAGTAGTGTGCTTAAAAGATTTCTTCAGTGCTGATGATTTTGTATTATAGTAGTGTTAGGTACTGGAGGACCAATATTTTTGCAATATATACGATTGACAAACAATACTGTCTCTGTACATAGATCCTGTCTTCCTTCACATAATGTTGTTACATCAATTAATATTGTGCCAAATGAAACAAAACAAGCTGTTTAAATCAAATATTTTTATATATATTGTTTTTGTATACACAGTATTGAAACTCATCACATTTTGTAATAAACATTTGTATTGTTAGTAATTAAACCACAAAGCCACAAAGGGTAAGTTTATTTTTTTCCCCACATAATGAAATAGAAATACTTGTATACTTCTGTTTACAAGCATATTTTAAATGAGTGCTCTTATATTACCTCATGTTTTGTCTAGTAATTGAGTTGGTGCTGAAATTTTTTATTTTACTATTAACTATTGGGTAAGTTGCAGAACATGTGTTACCAATTTGACCTTTTGTTTGTAATCATTAATATTCAAATATCAAAAATCAGTGGGAAACATTTAATCTCAATCAGCAATATCTTTTGGTTAATTATTAATAAATTTTGTGTATTTTTGTTTTGTCCTTGATTTAATCTTACAGTTTAATTCCATCCCTTTTATTTTTCTTCTACCTTATTTCGTAACATATAGACTGTGAGGCTGTGAGAAAATAATGAGTAACCTCCCAACAGCAGAATGAATTCAGGGGAGAAATCTTTTTGCATCAAAAATGTATCCTTTTGTGCCAGAACTCATTTGCACCAATGCTATGTGTGTGTCACTAGTTTGCAAAATATCGAGTATCATATGTGTCACTTCTTATATAAAATCTTATTGTCATTGAAAACATTGAGCCTCAACACACTATAAGGACGGACAGTTTACACTTGCTTGAAGACTGATTTTTGTAACTTTTTTTCAACCAACTTTTTCCTGAATTGCAGCTGTTACTTTTGTACTGTGTGATTTAATTAAAGTACTATAAAGTACACAACCGTGGGAAAACCTTAGACAGTCCCCTCCATTAAAATTGGACAAAACCTAGCAAATGATCATTGATGGTCTCTTGGAAACCATTTATTGTGACCTTGTATTCTTTTGTTTTTCAACATCACCTTATTTCTCCATTCGTCTTTATGCGATAATAGTCCTGTTAATTCCATATTCTATTTTGTATAAGCTATCATGATTTATTCGGGACTTTTTTTATATATAAGAGTTAAAGGTAGGTAAGTTGATTGACAAATACTCATACAGGTAATTTGGTGCATATGAATTCTGAAATTCTGATGCAATTGATACCTTTGAAAAATATAATTTGGTGCAAATGATATACTCATAAATAGGAATTGTCACAAAAGAACTGAATTCAGCTAGGTTTATTCTGAATTTTTAAGCACAGGCTTAAAACTTAATTTAGAACAGGTATATACATATTTATTAGTGTAATATAAGTTCTATATGTATATATTTCGTATGCCTAAACATCAGTCCGCAAAGTCCAGTTTTGAAAATTTGAAAATGAAGATTACTTTTTTCAAAATTGGTGAACACAAGTAAGAGACAGCAAAGGGGAAGAAGAAAGTTTAACATATTTAGAAAGGGATTCTGGGAAAAGAACTTCAACAAACAAATACAAAAAGACTGTCAAATGATTACACATAATACATTTGTAATTATCTTAATGCAATTGAATCTTAATAGAAATTAAAAATGTGAGGTAATATATGGATATCTTAAAGCTCAAGTTATTTCAGTATTATGTTAAAACAGACTTATGTTATATAACAATCATAATACATATGCATGAGGGACCAAATCATACTCCATTTTATCATTGAAGAAACATTTAACTCTTCTTTATCATTGTTTATATTGAAGAATACAGCTATTTCAAAACACATTATTTAAACATTATCTTGAAATGTTTTGAGCATGAAAAACCTTCATGTAGACTGTTCTTGCCATACTGGTTCATTTCTGTAATTTATTTTTCATGTACAGTATTGATTTTTACACTACACTGTATTTATCTTCTGATATTTATTTCTCATATAATTTTGCTGACTGAACAATTAATATTTTGTTATCATTTTGTTGTGCTTAGTTAATAAATTATCTTATACTTGAGCAATATTGTTTTGTTTTACATCCTCTATTTATTTCATGTATGAGACAGTATGTTAATTTTGCATATTATTCTTTCTTTGTTTCCATCTCTAAGATAATATAATTGTAATCTATAACTTACTCATTGGCTGAAGTTACAATCATTCATTCAAAAATATCAAAGTTGGCTGTACCAGGATGTGTAAATATCCTGATCAATTACATCTATTGTGAAATTTTCTTTGACATTTTACACTTGAATAGAAAGAATAGAAATCATTATCTGAGTAAACATCAGTGTGAGAACTTGTTTAATATTATGTAAATACCTATTAACCTACTTTATTTATTTATTCTGTGTAACTTATTCTGCAATACTATTATTCATCATGTACATTATCTTCATTTCAAATATGTATGGCAACTCTAGCAGAAAATAAAAATAATTGAATACCATGGATAGTTTTGTTAGATTATCTGGCAACTCCTGTGGACTAAAATAGCTGCCTTTTGATTCTGCTATCAAATGCATTTGGAATGCCATCTTGGTTATGTTTAAAATCGAAGTACACATTCCAGGTGCTGATGGAGGAATTTATATTTCAAATATTAAAAGATATTATGATTTCCTAATCAAAAGTAATTACTTACTTTACTGATTTTGGAATCTAAAGGTTTGATATTAGGTTTTTTTGTTCAGTGTTAAATTTTTTTGACAGGATTACTTGTGAGTATGCAGTGCATTATTGTTGGTCCCTTACCTTTCTATAAAGATGGATCTGCCTGCACCAACCCTGTACTGTTATGGTCCATTGACATTGGGATTTTGAAAAAAAGATGGGAAGGATACTAAAGGGACATTCAAACTCATTAGTCGAAAATAAAGTGACAACGTCATGGCTAAAAAGGAAAGGACAAACAGACAAACATCAGTACACAGTACACAAAACATAACATAGAAAACCAAAGACTAAGTAACACGAAACCCACCAAAAATTGGGGGTGATCTCAGGTGCTCCCGAAGGGTAAGCAGATCCTGCTCCACATGGGCATGTGTTGTTCATGTTAGTACAAACCTGGTGATAAGTCCAATTCAGTAGGTCATATTTGGGGAAAAGGGGACAGGATTGTAGTTACAACAATTGGAATAATCTGTTGTCATCTGTAAAACGGATACTCTATTACAGTCAACCAACTGGTGATGGCGTTTGTAAAATTTATGAAGGGATGATTTCAACTTCACCACTTGAAACTCTTGGTTTAATAGCTTCCTTGTGAGCAGCAACCCTCTATCAAGGAATGATAATGCAAGCCCTGGAATATCGTATCAACTGTGAGATATAAACTCTGTATGCAGGCGCTGCTTGAATGTTGCTATATAGAAATGGAAAGTTCACAATTGGGAAGCTGAAAACATCTCTTTTGTCGTAAAGTTTTGTTTTCAACCGACCTTCATTGTCAATTTCTAGATGTAAGATGATGCTTGATGAAGTTTGTGAGATACTTATAATTTCTTATTTTTAATTTGCTGTAAACAGGACATTATTATGTTGGTGCCATCAGTAATTTTAATTGGATATCTAATTTCTAATATCTAAAAGCAAAATGAGGATGTTAAATTTGATGTATGCCTTTTTGTGCTTCTTTGTTACATTTGTTTGTTTTTATAGTGATTAAGATGATTACACAATGTTGACTGCTGTACCCCTATTTTTGACATTTTTACCTATTGTGTCTTTTTGTTTTGTTCATGCATCGTTGTCAATATAATGGAATTTGATGCGACTGTCATACAAGTGAGAGGTTTAGCTAGCTATAAAACCAGGTTCAATCCACCATTTTCTACATAAGAAAATGCCTGTACCAAGTCAAGAATATGACAGTTGTTATCCATTCGTTTGATGTGTTTGAGCTTTTGATATTGCCATTAGATTAGGGACTTTCCTTTTTGAATTTTCCTCGGTGTTCAGTATTTTTGTGATTTTACTTTTTCCTTCCAACCTATATTTACTACCTGTTAGCATTCTCATTAATGAGTTCGATTAGTCTTTCTGTCTACTGACCAACTATTGCAACTATTTCAAAATTTACTGTTTATACTTCTCTTAAACCAAAATGAAACTTAACTTATCAGATGAATACTAGGAGTACTGTGTGGTAAACCACAATGAGATAAGCTCAACCATAGAAAAGTTATCTGAATTAACTTTTTTTTAGCAATTATCAATATGGTTGTTCCGTATGAAAAGCTCTAAATCAACCCAGAGTTTTGAATTAAATTTGCAGAGAATACCAACATCAAGTTCTTTAAAGAACAAATTCACTAAGATATGAACAAGGACAACCATTTATTAGTTTATTGACTTGTTATCAGGCATTAATTCAACTGTTTTTCACCAATATTTAGCAAACCCATGTCTCATTTAATCAGTGCAATAAAAAAAAAATACAAAAAAGAGTGTTCCATAAAAATCAGTTATAAAAAGCACTCAACTTTAAATATTAGTATTACACAATTACAAAATAAAACCCACTGGAACAAGTAAAGCAACACTAAAAAATTACAGAAGCACCTTGGATGCATAAACAAAGTTGCAAACTTCATTGAATTGTAGTAGAAGAAGCATATTTTTGTGTCGAGTACGATTAAACCTTAAATCTGCTGACAACTTGTATTAAATGTTTGGAAGCAAAACTTTATCCAGATTTCAAGTCTATTAATTGCTGCTGTAACCGTTCATTTTGGTCAATGACTTAACTATCAATTGGGGTCTTTGTCACCCGAAAGCCCATTACCCACCAATGATAGGCAAAGACCTGATTTATTGCTAAAAAAAATTGCTTTAAAAACAAAATATTTTCAAAATTTCACTCTGTTAGCATTATGACCTTGATTCGGCCTACTGACCCAAAAACTCAATAAGGTCGTTCTTTCCAAGGGGAATTTTCCAGCCAAGTTTGGTAAAGGTTAAACATATGCATACAAACCAAATCTTTGTCCCAATTTATTTCCATCAGTGACTGCTGTAATTTTGACTTTGACCAAGTGACCTTAAAATCAACAGATATCTTTATCGTCTTAATGGACATAATTAACATTACATTGACCTCATGTTTGAACGATATGATTTATCGTATAACAGCCTCCAAGACAGAAAGTTTGTGCTTCTTACCTTTTTGCATTCTTCATTGATATTGCTTAAGTCTTAATTTTCAACGTTGTGACCTCACTTGATAACCTGATATAAATTTGTACACGCGAGCAAGACTTTCTTTCATGTCCAAGTTTAACCCCTCGTGCAGTTTTCAAATGACTGTTACCTTGTTTTAGATGTGAAATTTTACAAAGAAAATTAGTCCCTTTTAAAGGGGAAATATGCAACTGGGAGAATAGCAATAACATTAATCAGGTCTAAATTAATGAACTAAATGAATCCAAGTGTTGAACCACTTCAAAGTTATGTTAGGCAGTATTTGGCCACAACAATAACTATCTTAAATATATCATATAACAATACCATATTCCCTACCGACATCTGATTGTAAGTATATTAGCTATAACATGGATATATTTTATTTTTGAATATCTTGAATTACTGTAACACATAACATGTCTAGTTTTAAAAGATTCGCCAAAACACGACGCGATCAACGTCTTGCATATGGTGAATTGTGCTAAAATGCTTTAAGAATGGCCAACGTCATCTTTACTAAAAATCATTTGTTGCCGAATCGTAAGCCCTATACCAATATAATGTAACTAGTAGTCCATTTGTTCTTTGCTTGAATATCAGAATTTCGTAGCACTATTTACCTCAGCATACTCGTTTTCTTTCTGATAGTTTATCACTTTAACTCTTCCATCATTAAAGCCCACCCAAACATTAGATGAGCGATCTACAGCACAACAGACTGGTGGTGCGTCGTGCTTGTCTCTTTGGATGACCAGTCCATTAAGATCTATAAAAAGTTGTTCAGAGTTACCCCGATCTGAAATAGTGATGTGGTTCTTTATCAACCCAAATCCAACAAAGTCAATGTCTTTGTCTGATGTCTTCGATGGATATTTAAGTTTCTTTTCATAGCATTTATTGAGAATTATTATCCATGATTTTTTTCCTCCTGGTCGACATAATATGAAAATTTCGCCATCAGGGTTCTGACAAATTTGTGTTGGATTTTCCAATCCAATATCAGACGTCAGAAATATTTCTTGTTTCTTTGGCTTTCCCTTCAAATACCAGCGAAGTATATAATTTTCGGTAGCAGGTTTGTCTTGGAAACATGCGATTTGTTCATCGTCAGTTGTTGCTGACGTACAAAAACAAGCAAGTATGCTTTTACCAGAACTAATGCTGATTCCAGTATTTAAGCTGTAAGATTTTCGTTTTGACTTTTGAGTGACCTGTAACTGTTTTATTGACGATTTGTTCTGAAACCCAATCAACAACTCGTTGTTTTTGTTTGTACATGATGATATCGGTGTTTGGTCTAACGTTTTTACAGGTGTTAGAATAATCTCTGTATCTTGTCTAGTGCAATCTACCTCTGTGACACTTTCTTCCAGAATCACCCAAGCTTCAAGTCCCTGTCCTTTAGGAACAATATACGATATTTTGTTTTTGTTTTTCGTTTCAAATGATCTTAGCACTTTAAACTCTTGTTTTCTTTTCACTTCATCGTACGAATCCGATAAGGGCAAAGTCTTTGGCTTTAAATATCCCCTGTAATCTTCAGGTAAATTTGGCTTTGGTTTTGCTGGAGCTCTTGGTGGTAAATCAAGTGGAAGTTCCTCATATTGACTACTTTCCACATGTTCGATGCAGCCGATAAATTTCTGAAGTTTTTCCTTCTTGACATTTTCTTCAGCAAAAATGTATTGGGGTGGTTTCGGGCTTGGCATCGTGTCTTTATATGGATCAAATTTGACAAGATTTTCAAGTGCCACGTCATATTTAGCAATTTCTGTGTCTGGTATATCATTTCCTTTTGATTCGATTTCGTCAACTAGTTGTTGTATTCTGTCGACTTTAAATTCTTGGTTTTGGATAAAAATATCATATAGCTGCCTTGTCTCTTGGTCGGCCTTATTTAGGTTATCAATTAGTTCCGTTTGTAAAACGTCCAGTATAGTATCAATTAACTTCCGTTTTGATTTGATAGATTCAGTTTCGTCCATTATGGTATCACTGTATTTGCTTTTACTCTCTGAAGCCTCGCTTATAATTTTCTGAATATTTGGAATCGTGGTGTTACCTGCAACCGATGGATATTTTAGAATTTGGTCGCGCCGCGAACGGCCGTATTCTTTTGATTTCATAGTTATGTGATTTTTATGACTACCAACTATACAGTCATCACAGATCAAACTCTTGCAGTCCTTACAATAAAATCTTACTTCCTCTGACTCATGTTGTTCGCAAAATGACCAAGATCTTGATACTGACGCCATGTTTAGTTTTCCTGGAAATATAGAAATAAACACATAGTAACAGAAACATATTTTAACAAATTAATCAATTAACCATCGTTTACTATAACCATAAATTAATTGTACGGTATCAGTGTATGAAGGTGTTGTAGACCAAGCTTAAATTTCGGTCACGTGGTTTGTTAAAACAAATGGGTTGATCTGAGACTGGATATATATTGTTAGTTGCCCTTTTCCCAGGGTTGATGTTACAGACAAGGTACACATGTCAAAATACGTTTGTGGCTTTCTTTCCTAATGACAATAGTTATAAATTAGGTAATTAGGTTTCTCGTTTGAATTGTTTCACATTTTTCATGACGGGGCCTTTTATAGCCGACTATACGGTATGGGTATTTTCTCATTGTTTAAGGCTGCACAATGGACTATATTTGCCTACTATGTATACCACTTCATTTCAACTCTGGATACAAATCCTTGCTCTGGTGCATAGTTGTCTCATTGGCAATGATACCACATCTCTTCAGTTCTATACCAAATCCGGACAAGGAATCAGAGCTTTGCATGAGGGAGATATATTCCTTAACTTAGTTTAGAATGATTTCTAAATTTTTTTAACAGCAAATATTAATCAAAACAATATCCGTATAGTACTGTCTACTAGGCTGATGATACACTCGGGGACAAATCGTCCACCAGCAGAGGTATCGACCCAGTGGTGGTCATAATATAAACGGTACCAATTTTAATGCACCAGATGCGCATTTAGACAATTTCTTCCGGACCTAATGTATAAATTCAAATTCAGATTCAAATTCAAATTCTTTATTTTACTAATTACAGGGCCCTTTCAGGCATTATAAAATTTAACACGATCATTCACACTTTCATACCAATCTTTCTCACTCCGCTCGCTCTGATTGTGTTAATTAGATACAGTACATTAGAACATACACAAAAGTCATTGATCATTTGAGTATAAATCATACAAGTCCAGAAAGTGAATAAAGAGAGATAACTCTGATTGTTGAAATAAACATTTTCTTTTTGCCAGGTAGATGGTTATTATGATTGAGCACAATTATGCTGTTTTCTTTCTGCAAAGTTAAGCTTTGAAAATTCACACTATAAAGATAAAAATGTGTTGTCTTCGTTTATCATTATCCATAAAAACAGGTTATTAGTATTTATATATTTTACATTGGGGAATTTGTTATCAATCTGAGATAGTAAAGTTACTCTCCTATGGTTATAATATAGTATGTAATATGTATTTACAAAATTTAACATTTAACTTTTCATGTTCCCAGTCTTTGAAAATTTCATATAGTGAAAGGTTTTCCCTTTTTTTAGTTATATTTATTACACCCCGATTTTCGCATCCATATGGGATTATGGGTTTAATAGTATGGTCAAATATACGAAGAAGACTACTAACTGATGGTGATGATGATTTTAGATCTCGATATGATTTAAAGCTAGCTTTAAGTCCCTTTTCATAAAGATCTTTTCTGGCTTCATTAAATTTTCCAGTATTACTAATTGTTAATCCTAAGTATTTATAAAATTTAACACAATCTATATCATTATGACCAATTCTAAAGTTTTCTTTTAGTAACCTACCAGTTTTATTAAAAATTATCACTTTTGTTTTTTTCACATTTATCTGTAGGCACCATTTTTCACAATATTTATAAAGAATGTTTAGTTTGTTTTGGAGACTCTCTTTTGTATCTGAGATTAAAACCAAGTCACCAGCATTTTTTGTTATTCAGTTTAAGACATTCAGTTTTTTCTTCTAATAAAGAGGATATTTCGTTTATAAACACATTAAATAGGTTGGGACTGAGTACATCCCCTTGTCTTACACCGACTTCAGATGTGAACAGCCTGGTCATTTTCTGATCTATCTTGATACATAATTTATCAGATTTATACATAGAATTCAATATATTGTAATAATAGCCATTCACATTATATTTCAATAACAAAAACATAATACCAGCATGTATAACAGTGTCAAATGCCTTACGAAAATCTATGAAGCAGGCATATATTTTTTTGTGACCCAACTTTAGGTATTTATTAATTATATATTTAAGAACAAAAATGTATAGCCAAATCCGGACAAGGAATCAGAGCTTTGCATTAGGGTGATATATTCCATAGTTTAAAATGATTTTCAAAATGTTATAACAGGAAAATTAGGGTGATATATTCCATATATATATATATATATATCTGTGTAGGTCTCGGAGGTGCGATGGGGACGCTGAAGTGCGATGGTCACGCTGAAGTGCGATGGTCTTCGCAGAAGTGTGATGGTCTGTTCGCTGAAGTGCGATGGTCTATAAATGTCATTAGTTACAGTTTCATGCTAAATGAAAGATCGTTCTCTTTAAATTTGCTGCATGGGGACATTATTCTGCTTTTACAGTTTATCTTAACGTAATCTCAGCTCTCATGCAGCACTCATGAGTTCCACCTTTTTCCATAATATCACGTAAAGTCTCTCTGCGGACCCATATGTAGTTAGAGAATTCGAAGCTTCATAGTACGTAAAAAATGAAACTTCTGTAGATTTCGAAAAAGTATTTAAATTATCTAAATTTCCCCTGTCTATACTAATTATTTTCCTTTTCTGGTAGTAGTAAAATCTGTTTACAAGTTGTATTCATGTCAAATACTAGAATGCAAAAACATTCCATATTTTCTCCAATTGCAGTAAAAACCACTGACGGTGATGAGTTTATAAGGCCCTTATTATATTGCATATTAAACAGCTATCGCATTTTCAGTCATTGAAATTATCACTGGTTTTTATAGAAAATAACCTTTGTATGTAGCGTCTTGAATAATTGTATGAACGTTGGCTTATTTTGGTCCAAAGTAAACTTCAACGCTACATTAGGACTGGACATATTTATGACTGTGTTTAATTAAACGGGTTAATATTCTTGATGATTTATTTAATAAACATGAAAAGCTGCTTTGAACACACAAATTGACTTTTTCATCGACGTCGAAAATATAGTTTATGTAATCCATCGCACTTCAGCGTATCCACCATCGCACTTCGGCGTAGTTACAAACAAGATAGCGTCACAATGCGACCATCGCACTTCAGCGTGATCAAACACGCACTTTAGCGTCAAACAATCGCATTTAAGCGTGATAATCGCGGTTCGGAGTACCACCGCGGTTCCGAGTCCTACATATATATTTTTAGTTTAAAATGATTTCTAAAATTTTATAACATGAAATTTCAATTAAAACTATAACCGTATTTTCATGCCAGTGGTGAAGTAGTGTCTACTGGGCTGGTGACACCCTATCGATAAGATATTAATTGAACAAATTGAGTCAAGGTATCTACATCATACCAGAGATGAGGGATTGGGTGGGGTTTTACTGATTTTATAATGGTATTGGAAGGTAGTCAATTATAATTTTTATTCGATTCAAATGAGTTAGATGCACTCAATCGTTTATCTGAAAAATCCTGACCGGATACTTATAGAATAGTGAATAAAATAATGTTTCACGATTACTCTCGTGTCCATTCTTACGTCATAGTTGATATTCAAGAAAATATATAGGTTATTAACTATTACCATAAGTATTACTGCGTAAAAAATACTGTATATTGTCTACACATTAAATATAATAATGACTTTTGTGGTTTTATAATGTATATTCATTTTTAAACAGATAACATACCTTCGATTTAGAAATTAACCGAGTTCTTTTTAAAATGCCTGATATAAACCTGTTACACAGGTAGTTCTAAAAGATCTGGATCATATATGAACAATCTATATTACCAAATATTGGATGTTCCCCTTGACTGAAATTGTGAAGTACAGATATGATTTCTTCATAATTCTCTTATGAATGATGGCATTTAAATTTTCCCCTTTGAACTACCGCGTACTTACATTTAGATTCAAACTTTTAAGATGTCACCACCATTAACCCATAACGTGATGGGTTTTAAAAGAAATTTCAATGCACAAAAATGTTGTTTGTAATATCTCCCCTAAAAAGATATACAAAATTAAAAAAAAATACCTAGACAAGCACACAAATACACGGAAGGTTCATAACCATCCGAGTTAAGATAGTATTCAACCTGGGAACAGTATATCTATCAATATATATGTTCCTGATTCAACTAAGAATCAAGAAAAGACTTGTTATTTTTTTCTGTCATCTTTTAAATTTATCTTTTTTGTGTCGCCTACGAATGTACACTCTGTACCCTTTTCGATTCATTTGTTATGTTATGTAAAAAGTTTATAATTGAGTTCACGTAAACATTTTTTTTTACATTTCCATGAAAATACAGAAGCATTGAATGACTAATATTTTCGACCAAATCCTCTTTAACAAGTGGTTCAAATGAGCCCTTTTCTCTCAACTCAGTCAATAAGAAAGAAAATGTAAACTAAAAATTATCAAAGGTACCATCATTCTGCGAAAAAAAGGTTTCGTCCAATTCTTATGAGATTCTAAAAAGACTAGTTTCTGTGCTAAACAATCAGATTCTCCATTTGTTCTGTAATATATGATTGAACCTGGGGTTATCAAGCAAAATTCCAATATAGGCAAAGGAAAATAAATTCATCCCATCCCTTTAGATCAATAGCATTATTTTTTTAAAGAATCGTTTTTTCTATGTACTGTTTCTAAACAATTAACCCATTTTATTTTTGATTGATTTTTAATAAAAAGAACATCGTACACTTAAAGTTTAGAAGCAAAAGACCAAGCGCAGTATTTTCTTCTTGAATTGTTTGTCAAATACTATTATTTCTAATTCTTATTTGTGCACTGATACATTACAATTAAGATTGAAATATGTAAAGATTAATACTTGAACAATTAGAATTAAAACTTGTAACTCGTTCTCTGCCATATCTATCATTGACTTACGTGTTTACTGTAACAGCTCTGGTCTAGGTACAGTAAAATTAAGTTGTATCTTACAGCTTACATAACTAAAATCTTGAACCAAAAACAAAATCAGTTACCAGTCCCAGTCACGATTTTTACTGCCGTCCTTGATAGGAATATTTCCGATCAAAATTTGTCAAAAGTCTGATCAAGTTCCGGTGAATCGCGGCTGGAAATTCAAACTGTAATTAAAATTTGTAACATTTATCTAATTACGACAAAAATCAGATATTGTTCAAGAAGCGTCCAAATTCATCCGTTTCCAACCGGATTATCCCGTTCTCAATCGGATTCTAATTCAATTTGTATCTTTCATTTGGTAAAACACGACCGAATATGTCCCGACAGCGTCCCGATTCTGCCAAATGCGATCCGACAGAAATCAGACAGTGACCAGACAGTAAACCGACGTTGACGGAAGATATCCGTTAGAAAACTGTTTAATGTGATAGTCCCGTCTTTTAAAAAAATCGCCATATTCGGAATGATCAGGTACTACCGGAACGCAATCTTATCACAGTCTGCTGTACCGCAAGGCAAACGGCTTTGTCTGTATCGTGTTCTGTAATTGTCGGGGCTCCGACGTGGGTATAATTGCCGAATTTCGTATTAATAACGTCACTGTTCCGGAACAAAGACGGTTCGCATTCGCCAAGATCTGGATGAAATCTGGACCTAATCGGCCAAAAAACAGCAATGACAAATTTCTCCAGATCATGCCCGTTCCACAGGATACCGTCCAGAAAACACAGAACTTTGTTTCTATTTTGATCCGATACAGCAAAATCTGTCACGACATAGTCACGATTGTAATCCGACTAGACAAAATCGGCTGAGTTTCCCCGAATGTTACGGGATGCACCTAATTGTCGGGGTGCTTGGCCGACCTCTACGGACCATTCCCGATCCGTAGGAATCTGTTACGAACGTATACGACTGCGTTATTATCTTGAATATTATTGAATATTATAAGATAAAGATAAACTGTAAACAGCGAAAATGTTCAGCAAATTAAGATCTACACAAAAGTTAATATGACCAAAATTGTCAATTGACCCCTTAAGGAGTTATTGCCCTTTAAAGACACTTTTACACAATTTGTTCATCATGTTTGCTAACATTTAAAAATCTTCTCCTCTGAAACTACTGGGCCTAACATTTCTAAACTTTAACTGACTGTTCCTTAGGGTAACTGGTTTATAAATTGCATGCGAAGTTTTGATTCATTAACAAACATGGCCGCCATGGCTATAAATAGTACATAGGGGTCAAATGCAGATTTTAGCTTTTATCTCAAAAACTATAGCAGTTAGAGCAAAAGTGACATGGAGTTGAAGTGGTGAATAAGTCAAAATCTATCTGCTATGAAATTTTCAGACCAATTGGACCCCCCATTGTAGGGTTACTGTCCGAAATAATTTATCTTTATGAAATTTTACTGTTTTTGGTTATTATCTTTTATATTATAATAGATAGAGAGAAAGTGTAAATGACAAAAATGTTAAGCTAAGAAGGATATTAGTTTTAGAGATAAACATTGTAATCGATATGTTACCATTGTGTTACAGTGACATATTTTGTTGAGAAAATGCGCGAAAAGTGTTGTCTCCCCAAACAAGGATATGTACGATTCAGCTCCGCGGGTCCCAGTGAGGACATTGTAAATTGTATGTGTCATTTGTATATATACATCACATCTTTAGAACTATGGAAAAGAGCTGCTAGTTTCAGTTTTGATCAATACTGACTACCGTTTATGTATAATGATGGCTAGATGACTGTGGAAACACTTTTAACAAATTTTACGAAATAGTCCCACATCAACATTATAAAAAAGATAGGTAATATTTTTTATACAGTTGTAGCAATAGCGTGATTATTTTAATCTGTATTGAATTATTTGTACGAAAAGATACATTGTTATTTACACAATAGAAATCAGATTGTTGTTTTTTTTTTCGTCTTCGTATTTTGACTTCTTTTCTTTTTTGTATATCTTCTTCAACAAAATAACACCGAAAATTAATGTTTGGGTCATGTTTGAAGGAAATTACTGAGGCGGGCATATGCCCATTAACAGGTATAAGATACTAAAAGTTAAGGGCAATTATTCTAAACATCAAATTCTGGGAATTTCTGCTTTTATTCATCAACTGAATTCTTGAAAAGAATGAAATTAAACATGCATTTTTTTTATACTGCGATTTCTAACAGTTGTTGCTTGACACAATACTAAACGGAGATAGTTTTATAATATTTAGATATTGCATTCTTTATATGGATGTGTATGCAAGTATGGCATTTTTGTTTATATCCTGAAACATACTTTCTGCAGATTTGACCATCACAATGTTTATCCAGTCATCATTCAGTTTCTTTTGAATATATTTTAAAATGTAATATTTGCCACTGTGCGTGGTGTTATTATTGATTCATTTAAATTTTTGGAAACCTACATATTATCAATGTGAAAGAAATCATTATAAATAGAATAAGAATTTAGTTTTTAACATTTGAGAGAAGATTTTTTAAAGAATTACTTCGAAACAATCGAAGAGGTATTTGTAGGAATTAGAATGGAACCAAATAGATTTGACGAAGTACATTTGTAGACCTTTGTTTTAAGTCGTTACTTTGTGTAAGTTTATTTGAAAGTTTTAAATATGTTAACTCGTCTTCCACCGATATAACCGCATTCTGGATATATAAAAATGCATTTTTTAATAAACAAAAAGATGTTGCCAATACGCTAAAGATATCAAAATTTCTTGATATTTATCGCGCAACCAGTTTTTAACGATGTACGAAACAAACCTCTAAAATTGTAAGTTTTGCAAAATTTGAATATATATATAAACAAAAATCGTAAGGGTTCCGCGGAACACAGTGTCTCGCCTACTCTTGCTGTTAGTTGAAGGCTCAACAAAAAATGGGGAAAAATTATTAAAAATTTTCCTCTAGATACTATCTTTTGATTGTAAGAAGTTCTGTTCAAGTTTGGTAAAAATCCAAGAAGGTTTATGAATCTAATAAATGTTTTTAAAACTTTAACTGCAGACTGTACGTAATGTTAACTTGAATAAAACTAAGTCCATTTATAAGTAATATACGGAAAAACAGGAAATAAATTTTTACAAAATTTCCTTCTAGATACAAACTTTTGATCATAAACAACCTTCTGTCCAAGTGTGGTACAAATCCAGGATAGTTTAAAAAATTTGAAAAACTTTAACCACAGAGTGAATGTAATGTTAACTGGCAGAAAAACTAAGTCCATATATGAGTAAAATACGGATAATCATGATTTTTTTTTACAAAATTTTCTTCTGGATACTATCTTATGATTATAAACAAGCTTCTGTCCAAGTTTGGTACACATCTAGGATAGTTTAAGAAAGTTATTAAAATTTGAAAAACTTTAACCACATAGTGAATGTAATGTTAACTGGCAGAGAAACTAAGTCCGATTATGAGTAAAATACGGATAAACAGGATTTTTTTTTTCACAAAATTTACTTCTGGATACTATCTTATGATCATAAACAAGCTTCTGTCCAAGTTTGGTTGAAATGCAGGATAGTTTAAGAAAGTTATAAAAATTTGAAAAACTTTAACCACAGAGTGAATATTTGTGGACGCCGCCGACGACGACGCCGACGGAATGTAGGATCGCGATGTCTCGCTTTTGCGACAAAAGTCGCAGGCTCGACAAAAACGAAAAACTTTTCTCAAATAAAAAGGAAAGAAATAATATAAGGTGCCAATTGAATTATCAACAACTTTAAATAGGTGCCGATTTGAATAAATGCCGATTTGACCAGGTGCTGATTTAACTTTTTCTATGGTGCCGATTTGACTTGAACCCATTATCTGTAGTTGTATTGCAAAACATCTTGAAA